AAATACTTGAAATAGCAGAAAAAAAAATGCCAAAAAGATTTAGAAAGAAAATAGCACAAACCAGCCAAAAGTTTAAATATTTTTTAAAAAAAACCCAACATTTTAACTCTTCTCTATTGTGCTGTCTTTTCTTGAAATCATCTGAATTATATGAAGGTTAAAAGCAATGACAAGTCACATGTATCAGCTAGGAATATAGTATTTTACTGCTCCTTTGGACTCCAGTGCCAAAACATAGATTCGGAAATCCCCAATCACTTTTTGCCTAATCTCAGAAAAACTCAGGAATTTAAAATATTTAAATGCTCTGATTGTTTATCTGAGGCAAGCCATGTCCCTAAGCACCTTGATCTTAGCACCATTGAGGAGTTTGAAAGATAATTTGATATTTGCTGCTAATCACTGAAATTTTTTACTCATTGTTCTTTTAACACATCACGTCATAGTTACTGTGATTTGGTTTTTTAGCTGATTCCCTTCTGTATCAGCAAGGAGCACTTCAGAAGTTTCTTCTGCAGCCTCAAGCGGAGAGAGATGATGTGTGTTGTTGTTGCATCTCACAGATCAGCCGAGCGCAGGCGTAGCTCCCTGGTAGTGAGTCTGCCGGGACTTGAGGTGTTCCCTGGAGACCTCCTGGTGTCAGACAGTGCCATGGACTACCTGCCCTACTCACCCTTCCTGCTGAGTGCAGGTCAGATATGGGAGGAGGGGGAGGTTTGCTCCTCTGAGCCCAGTAAAAGCCAGGACTGGAATATGTGTGCATGTGGGATGGGGAGGGAGTATGGGAACAATGACAGGCAGTGCAGCCTCCGTGGAGAATCCTGTTACCCCACATCAATGTGATTCAATTTCCAATGCAAGTAGATTGAGATACAATTTCCTACCTTCACAGCTTCAAGCAGAGGAAAGAAAGTGGCCCATACTGCCCTTTCCAGTAGTGTTCTGACAAGGGTAGCAGACCCAATTCATGGCTAGAGGTTGCTCACAAGACCTTCCAAAACTGAAATGTAGACCTGCAATTTCCACAAATATCTATTGTGGAATATAGTAATGTGGGAAGTGTGATTAGCAGAGACCAAAGATCCTGGTGACTAGAGATCAAAAGTTTCTCAAAAAGCAAGTCAATCAAGGTGACAACCAGCAGCTCCATGAGAGCAAATAAGCCAGCCACTCCCAGAACAGCCAAGACCTCCAAAAACTAGAAGAACAAAGTTTTGACTGTGATTTCCACTCATTCACAGACTTGAAAATAGGTGCCACATAACAGAAAACCTGTTCAGATTTCTTGCTGAACACAGTCGTTCCTCACCATTCACCAGTGCATTCCTAAATCTAAATCCCCATCTTTCTCTGTTCCTCACCAAGGACCACAAATTATAGCCAGCTCCACGGTGCCAGCCCCATGACAGATCTGAGGCTTATGGCTTGTACGATTGTTTGTTCACAGGAGTTCTGAATTTCTGAATAACTCCAAATTATCACTAATGATCATGCATGGACTAACTCTTGCTTCAAAACAATATCTTCAAGAATTGGCTTGAGGTATGAGGATTTTCCCATGTAAAGATTTGGCAATCAAATACTGAGCATCTTCAACAAGTAGGAGTGTTTAGCATCATCCAAAATCCCATTGCAGATAGTCATAATTCTTGCTAGAAGGAACCAACAACCTGGGGTTTAAAGTTTGATGCACAAACTGCCCAAACACAAGTATTAAATCTGAGTCAAGTAGAGTATAGTCTATCAAGCTTTACTCAAAAATAAATATATAAATAGATATAAATATATAAATAATATAAATAACAGTTTTATTTTTAGCTATTTGTTTCTTTACTGATAATATTTGTTTTACCCATTAGAGTCCAAAAAGTCAAGGTGGCCATTCGTCAAAAGAGGAGTTGTGAGTATTTTACTTTTTTTCCTTGCACCTATCTTCCCTTCTCCAACAACTAATGTGGGTAAAAATAGCTTCTTTACTTTCTGCTCTTGGAGAAAGGCAGCCAGCAGGTGAGCTGAACTCAGAGGTCTCAGCCCACTCACCCTTGGAATGCTTGGACATTAATCTGCAGTGAAGCTTAGGTGACACCAGTGCAGCCACCAGTGCCACTGCCCATGAGGCACATGAAAAGAGTCAGTGCCACTGCTCCCTATCCCTGTGGGCGGTGGGAGGAGAGGTGTCTTGTGGCACCAGGAGGGCAGAGCAGGATGGGCAATGCAGGAGGTCTCTAACAGAGTGTTCAAGGCTGGCAGCAGGTCCAATGCAGGGTAAGATAGCAAAAAATGGACAGGTCAGTTGCATTGTTGCTTTGACCATAGTGTATCCTGTATTTTCTGCATGTCTTAGGGCTCTGGAGTGTCTGTGGAACACCCACTCATGTGGAAGGAATCTAAGCTTTACCTGTCAAAGTAGCTTTTCAGATGCTTTCGTAGGCCTTTTTGTTCTCATGGGTGCCCTCACAGTTGCCAATAAAAGCATACACACTAACACAATTCAGTGAATATCCTTGTCTAACACATTTCCTTGTCTTTTCCATTTATGACAACTTTCACTGACTGAGGTATCCGAATTTCCTTTCTGCATAGTGTTTGGGATTCAAAAAATTATTTACAAGTGTCTTGATAACTTCCCCCCCAAGCATGTAATTGTGAACAGTCCCTTTCCAATATTTTTTGCATTTTATCAAAGAAGACCTGGTGCAAATGAAACCAATGTAAGTACTGAGATTAGTATATACAAGAGTTCCCTCTTCTTTTAATAGCAGTTCTATAGCATTTGAAGGAGCATGGCCTAAAATTGAGAATTTTTAAATTCGGTAAATTTTTTGAAATCTGAAATAAAATATTGATATTTCATATTCAGAAAAAAAGTGATTTCTGAGGCTATTAAATTCCATAAATTTCTGCTCCATTTCAAGCTGTCTTTCAAAATTAAGAGCTGAACTTAAACTCTGAGTTTCAAATATTGTAATCAAACACATGTTTCAAAATTGGCTTGAGTTCAGAGCCTTAAGTTCAGAAAATAGAAATCCACATAATATACTGTTCCAGAGAGCAGATAAAAGTTAGGCAAGCACCTTATAAGTCTGCACCCACAGCACTTAAGTTAGTTCATAAATAATGATTCAACTTTTTACATGGCCTGAAAACACAAAGCCAAAACAAAAGCAATTGTTTTTATTTCATGATCCCTCACACAAACTCCTGCTGCCCTTTAAGCTTTCTGAAAGCTCATTTTACAGACACTACTCTACAGCTGACCAAGGAAGCTTATTCAATACATAACTCAAAAAAAAAATTAAAAATAAAGAAGTAAACAAATGTGTAACTTTTTATATCTACATCAGGAGGATGATTTCAACTATGAATCTGTTGTTACCTATGGCTGACAGTGCTAAAGAAAGCAAAATATCTTATTTGTTCAGTTTTCTGAGGGTAACCCATTGTGTTACATAAATAAGATCTTACACATCCAAATGTAAGGCACCTACACACCGCACCCCAACGTATGAAGAAGCCTGTCATCACTGCCTTGTCTCTATTTAGGAGAGCAGGGAAGTATAAAGAAACCACTCGCTGAAGGGCAAACTTCTTTCAGATTAGAGTAAGGTTACAGAGCTGGGCAAACTTCAATAGTATGAATTAGGGCTGGTTTTTTGTCATTCAACAGGGTAAAGAAAAACAGAAGCAAGCATCTGATCTGGAAAATTGTCTTTCAACTGTTAAGATCATAGACTGCTGCACATATGAATTTTTCTGCTTTAAGGTATCAAAATACTCAGTATACTGTATCAAGGATATTTAACAGTGGGGGAGGAATTTTGTGTTGTTTTTAAGTTAACATTTTTCAGTACATTAATCTGGATAAACCTTCTGTAAAATTAATACATAAGTTACATTAATACATGAGGTATATTAATACATAAGGTATATTTTTGTCATTTGAAATGGAGGGGCGAGGGGGAAACTGAGGGTCACAGAAGGTTAGCAAGGGCCCCCAAGACCATCTGGATTTTGCCAGGGTTTCAGACTGTCTTAGGTCAGGGAAGTATCACCTTCAGAAAAAGGCCTCAAGACAACCCTCTCAGCAGCACATGCAGGTCTGGGGAAAGAAACTGCAACATAACAGAGATGTTACTTGGGGAATAGTCATCCCCATTGCTGCCTTAGGGTTGTGTTCAGAGGCAGCCACAGAGAGATCAGTGCCAACACCAAGGTTCGGCTGCAGAAATCCCGCCAAAACCTGCCTGCCAGATAAACAAGGCTTCTGGCCTCTAGCCACAGAAACACCAAGCTTGGGCTACCAGGGTGATATTCAGATAACCCACACCTAACACCATCCCCTCTCCAAAGCCAACCTTTTGTTTCTCATGTCAGGCTGTTATTTGCAGCTTCCCAGAGACATGGTAGTTGAGGACTCCTGTCAGTACCTAACTTATATGTGGACAACTGACGTTGGAGTAGGTCAGTAAGATGATAGTGGCCACCTTAAGACTAAACAAAACAATTTCCAAGTGACTATAAAGACATAGCCCTTTGATACCTTGATTTTATCATCTGGAAAACAAGAAGCTATCATATATCCCTGCCTTCCAACAGCAGCACGAGAGATTCAATTCCTTAGCGTCTTCAAGCTGCACAATATTTTTTGATACAACATCCCACAAACATAGATTATCCTACTGCATTACTTTCAAATTCACTGTGTTTATATTATAAATATTTTGGAGGAAAATGTCAGGGTTTTAAATTTTTCTAAGAAATCTTTAATCTTTCAGAAGAAAAATCACTAATACTGGCAGATGAGATCTTTATATAGGAAATAAAACATGGATTCTTCTCATAAGGTCTGAAGCAGTTGATGAAACAATTGGTGGTTTTCTTTCTTCTTCAATCAATAGAGTAAATCTTGGCATGAATTTATGAATGAACAACAGACTGAGCAGAAAGATGCCGACAGCCGGTTAGAAGTGAAAAAAGAAGCAGCAGTGTGGGAACTTTTCACAAGTGAATGCACTTACTTTCTGGATCATTTGTTGGTTCTCAAGATGGTAACTTCAGATTTTACTTCACAAAAATAATTACATTATTTGTTCTGCTGTCATCATGGCAGACACAAAGCCACCTGAAATTTCTCGTTAGGTGTCTATGGGGAATGACTTAAGCACTTGGTTTTTCCTCCCATCTTGCCTGCTCATCCTGTTTTCACAGTTCCCTTTGGTTTCCACCTTTATTTTGGCATATTTCTTCTAAACATCACTTTCTAGTGATGCAATCTAGTGCTTTGCAATTACCATCTGATTTCATATTCATTCAGCAATTTCAACTGATATCCCACTATTCCTCTCACAAACGCTGAACTGAAGCCACTCTCCAGTTGGCTTTTTCTGTACTGGACTATTTCAACTGAATGTTTCTGTACTACTAGTATGGAACATTATCATCTTCATTTAACTTCATATAGAGCTATAGCTAGATTATCCTGACCAGAGCATGAAATCCTCAGAATTCAGCAGACTGTAGTTCTAATATTACATGAAAACGAGCATACTAAAAGCAACTCCTCTCCCAAAAAATCTATATTACCTCCATCCTAATGAATATTAAGAGCTTGCAATATGAACAAGAATATTACACACAGTTACAAGAATAGCTACACTATTTAAAGTCACTACACATCAAAATTAAATGTATCCATTTAAAAGGATGGAAAATTCCATAAATATTTTCTAATATTTTTCTCTTATTCTACGCAGACAATTTCTGATTTTTATTAGTCAAAGGAAAGAGATTTGTGAAACATTTTCCATACTGCTGAAAAGTTAGCCTGGATAGTACAAGAAGTATTGCAAAGTAATGGAAACAGAGGAGTGGGCTGAATTTATCCTTGATGGGACAGAACAGGAATTAGGAGGAAAGGGAATGACAGGACCAGCTATTGGTCCTAGGTAGAAGGAAAGATCTTTTCTTCTGTACACTTTGTTCAGAAAGCTGAAAAGATTAAAAAGTAGTGAATACTTGGAGGGATGATAATAGCAGACATGCAGGCCCCTTGGTGAGTCTGATGTAGGAAACCACAGACAGGTCTTAGCCAGCTCTGCATGACCCATGAATGATGAACTATTCAGTCCACGCCGGCTTCCCAAACTCTCCTGCCAAAGAACCCATTGCATTTGGGTAACCAGTTTACAGATACCTACTTACTTCAAAGTACAGAAATATTCCACCGACTTTAATGAACCTCCACAGGGAGCTTTAAGACCACCATAAATTCCCTTTAAGCTCTCAGGTCAACCTCCTCATGGTAACTAGAGAGTTACACAAGGCTAAGCAAACACTCTCACTAGCTATTCACTCTTGGCAACTGGGTGATGGGTTTTTCATCAATGCTTTTTACACATAAAAAAATCTACTTGGTAATCCATAAATTTTAAGCCTTTTTCAGATTTAGGTCAGATTCAGTACAGCTCAATCAGTTTAAATAACATAAAATCTTAAACAGCTAATAAATACACATGCAGTTTTCATGCAATGGAGGTTAATAAAACAATTCAAAGAGATAAAAAAGTCTTCACAGGGCCTCTACTTACATTATTCCAACAATATATTTTTTTCCCATAGTAACTCTAAACAATTTAAATGCATGGAATAGGAAGGAAAACATTTAGAAAGATCATAGAAATGTGTAACTGTGCCCTGATGTTACTAATTCCTTCATGCAGGGAATCTTCAGGTGGCTCAGTTGCCCCTCTTCTGCCAGAGATCACAGCAGGGACATAGCTGCTTCTGTGGTAGCCACAAAGAAACCCCAGAGACATCACTCATATCCTCTTCCACACACAAACCCCAATATTTAGCCTTCAGTCAGATCAGGAAACTTTTCTCAGAATGCCATATTCTGCCCTCCCCAAATCAAATTCTCATTTCATAATAATTACAGTACAAATACATAATTTTTTTTTCTGGGGGGGGGGGGGGAAGATACATTGAATTGGCACAAATTGTATATAATATGGATTTGTTTTGGTTTTAAAGATATTTATGAACACCCTAAAATACCTCCAGAGTAATGAATTTCTCTTGGATGTGGATTTGTGGAGACTTTTTGCAAACTTAGAGGAGTTAAACAAGGTGAGTAAAAAACCAGAAGTGTTACTGAGATAGAAATCAACCAGCCCAATAAAAGAAGACAACAAACCATCCATAAAGTTTCTATTCAGTTTCAGTGCTCACATTTGGAACTCTGTTCAAATAGTAAGTGTTCTCATTTCTACTTGGTATATCAGTGAGGCTCAAATATAACCAGTGCAAATCATTCTCTTGTGTCTCCAGTAAAAGATAAACAGGCATTTTAAACACAGAGGAGAGCTCATTTGGCAGTTGTTTATGAAGTAAATACAAGTTTGAGACTATTTCTGATAAGCAGTGACCTTTTAAAAGGATTTGTGAAGATAAACTCCTCCTACACAATCCTCACAGCAAAACAGTAAGCATGGCAAAATAACTACTACAATGAGTTCCCTTTTGCAAACAGACAGGCACGAAGACTTTGCTGTCTATTATGCCACTCCAATAGGGCAAGTTAAAACAAAATGGTGACCTCCTTTCTGCAGCTGAGGTTTCCCGTGGCATGTGTGTAAGGATCTCTCCCACACAGACTGGATGCTCTGTGTTCATGTGCTACTTACCTCCCACGGTCCAGGAGGAGGGAGGCCACAAGGCTTGGCTGTGATGTGCTCCAGCTCCTTGTTGCTTCTGGTCAGTTGCTGAGAGATCACTTTCAGTTCCTGAAAGTTAAGAAAACTATAAATCCATATTACTTTAGAAGCAAAGCAGAAGTTTTTCTTAGTTTGAGGGCTCTTTTACAGGACACCTTATGCTTAACAGTAAAATGAATTTTGGAAAGCAGTCTGCAGTTGCCTTAATTGAATGACTGCTCATAATCACATCACTTGCCCTAAACCAGTTGTTGAGTTCAAGCTTCTTTTTGTATTGTATTTCCCTTGCCTTAGTAGTGAGTATCTCCTTTTTTAGCCAAAACAAGAAAATCAGGAAAGGTCTTCAAAGTAGGGACAATTAACCAGAACTCAAACACATGAGCAAGGCACTGCTGCTCAGTGACAGACCATGTACCTGGTGAGCTGCAGAATGACCAACCAAGCAGATCTGGAGACACAAGGAAAGAGATTTTTAGCTGACGTGTTTCACCTTTTGTTTGTTGTGGACTAAGACCATACATGCAGGCAACTACTAGAGTTCAGCAGATCTGTGGTTGTTGATTTCTTTGTTCTCTTTCAAAGAAGGGAGTGGTATATATTGCTGTGTGCTCTGAGCTTGGCTGGAGCTTGGTCATGTCTTGAGAGAATTATCTTTAATACATTTCCTATTTTACTTTCTAATTTTGTTGTCCTTATTAATGAGGATGACAAATGATCATCTGTTATGCGTACTTGCATATAAAATAGTGATTAAATGTAGGAGAAAGTAGCTGCTGTCAATGCCTTTTATGCCTTTTTTCTTGAATTTTACAGCATGTGTTTCTTCTTGATAGCAGGCTGAATCCATGAAAAAATGCATGCTATAAAAGATGTAAATGTCAAAATTAAAGAATAGGTATCATCCTATAAGCAACCTTGCCCCCATAAACACATCAAACAAAGCAGTGTGCAGGTACAACAGTCCCTAGCAGTATCACAGTGGATGACATGCCCTTCTGGCCAAAAATTTGGCCTAAAACTGAGCCCAGTCATGAATTCTTGTAAAAATATTGTGCTCAGGAGGCAAGTGTGGGCTTAGGAACAGGCTCTGACTCCCCTCTGACCTATAATGTGGGTACTCTTGAGTCCAGTTCAAACTTACATGGAATATGTGACTTTTTGTAGCATTTTGTAGAAACTTCTCCTATCTTCAATTGCATGAAGCAAACTCAAACTATGAAAGATGGTTTCTTCCTCAAATGGCTCTGAAGGCTTCCTTAATTGTCACACCTATGACACAAACAACCAGTGTTTTTCAGTAGACACCATTCACCCATTGTCAATTTTCATGTCAACCTATATTAAATACAGCTGCTACCCTAAAAATAGTTTAAATGGAATAACTAATCTTGTTTCAAAGCTTTTATCACAAGTGGGTATTTCTATAGATTTGTTTTAGTTTCCAACTAATTCAAGCATTCTGGGCATAATTCTGAAGATAATTCTGGCAATGTCAGAGAGAAAAGTATAGACACCCACTAGGCTTGGAGCCTTTTGAGAGCCCAGGAATGGGAAAGAAAGATGTTTTAATCTTAACTTCAGGTCACTGATGTTAATCTCTCTCTTTTTCCTCCTTACTTAGATAAGTCTCAGTTTTCTGAAAACTTTTTTTCAAACTGTGAAGGAGCATATCAGCAAGTCAGAGTCTCCCTTGGATTTCAGTTCCATACTCAGAACGGTAATACAATCAGAAATATTTTTGCTTTTAATAACAGTAGGTCCTTGCAGCAGACCATTTATCATAGCATGCAGGTGCTTTAGAACAATCAAGTCAGTCAAGGACATGCCGTCTGTCACAGGCAGTTTGGTCTCAGCCTCAAGCAGCTCCTATCAGCAGGTCGTTTTTCTTTTTATTCATTGGCATGGTTGAAGTAGTTGTGGAAATGTACTCTGTATGTGCAACAAAGTGTGGAAAGATTTTCCCTTCCTAGTGAAGAGCAGCCCCAAACCCTGAGGAGTCTTGGCCACTGGCAGAGGAGAGCTTCCTGCTCAATGGAAGGTGTTTCCTCAAGACCAGACCCCAGCCCCATCACTAGATGTTCCCTGCCTCCTTCCACCCCTTCACATGGATCCTCCTTTACTCCATGGACCAGACCCACAAATGTTTTTAAGTGCTTAATTAAGAGCAGAATGGGACTGAAATACCTATTACACTTTGGCCTGTGTCTGCTAAGCAAGAGAGAGGCAGAAACACAACTGCCTTGTTGCTGCCAAGCCCTGCTTGCCCTGCAACCTTTTTGGGTAGCTCTCTAAGAGCTCTAATTCCCACACAACTTCCCAGTGCTTCTAAAGTTGGAAATATCAATACAGACAGAAAATCAATTAATGGACCTGAACTTTCCCTAGCAGTAGAGGCCATTAGAAAACTTCCAGGACATACTAAAACAGACCCTACCTGAGTGTTAAGATTTTTAACAGGGAAAGGCAGGCTAAAGCTTGGTTTCTCACCCTGTTATCTCTGACTTCAGGTATTCTTATTGATAATGTTTGTGTAAGACAGAAAAAATCCCAGACAAAACTGCATTTTATGATGGACAACATTCAACATCTCCAACCTAAATGATGTTATGCTATTATTTCTAAGAGCTATCTAGCCTACTCAAACAGTAAAATACTAAGCTGCATGAAGTCATCAAAGCTATTTCATAGGTAGTGGTTTTATCTTCAACTTCTACATGAATTTCACATCATTTATTTTTAATGAGAACAAAGTCTAAAAATGTGTCACACCTCTGCAGAGCCATTAGAACTGTGCTCCCATGCATTGCTTGACTGATTTTTTTACTACTTTACACTTCTATTACTGTTTAATTTGCCCTTTACTTTTTTAATTCCCCCTTTTCCCCTTCCCCTATTTTCCTAGGTACAATGAAATCTTAGGTAAAATATTACAAAACCAAAACCATTGTTTCTCCTTTCATCATAATATTTTCCTTTTCTGATGAATTTCCAAGTCTTTTCTGCAGTTTTTCCAGGGTGACCTCTGCCAGACACACCAGATTTATTGCCTTAATTATACTTCTGCTGTCTTCTACTTGGAAAAACTGAGACTGAGAGAAGATTTTGGCATCTACCTGAAAGTAAAGTGATGATTTTGTTGTTATTGTCTTCAGAACTCCTACCTTATGACAGGATTTTAACAGCAGACTAGGAAAGTTCATTCAGACTGTGTAGATAGCATTTCACATCAACTTTTTGAGCTGCAGAGGCTAACATCAATAAGAAGTCCCCCTTCTGAGTGTATGTTCACCTGCACATGTGAAAGTCTATACTTGTAATTTAGACCAGATAAGAAGGGAAAGCCAAAAGGGAGGAACTGGCTGCATTTTTGGAGGTAGAAAACACATACTACTAGCCTCTGTAATTTAGGTATTTTGCACGTAATCTCTTGACTCAATGACCTCCACTTTAACAAAGTGAAATGGTTACAGAATTAAAAAAAGAAACAAAAATCAAGCCACATTGTAAATTCTCTCTCAAAACAACACCATTGAGTAAGCATTTATCTCCCTCTAAGGCTGGAAAGAGCTATCAGTGATGTCTTTACCAAGTTGCAGCACTAGAGTAGGTTCTGTCTTTGCTGACGCCACATCTGCCTGAAACAAAAGCTCCAGCCAGTGCAGTGGTGGAGATCTTAGGGAGAAGACTCTGCTCTTTCCAATATCATCAGCAGACCAGTGTGTCCTGTAAATACCTAAGACTGATCCTCAACATTACAGGTTTAGAAAGAGACACCTGAAGTAGTGAGCTTTTCTTACTGGCAGCCCAAAACTGGGAGGACATGTCCTTGTAGCAGGACATGTCAACTGCAGCTTAGGCCTTGGAGTTTCTCGTTGCTTGCTCCCTGACAGGGATTTCATACATTCATGCCAAGGAAGAAGTTCCCCAGTGGCAAGTAGCAGTGACCCTAAAACCTAAGGCGGCCTTCAAACCTAATTCAGGTTAATTTTCTCAGGTTTTCCTGAGAAAATCAAAACAGGAAATAAATAAGAGCACCATTTTGTCTGGTGGCATGGACACAGCATCTGGAATGGAAAGCAGCAATGCAGAAAGTGCATCTGGAGGAGTGATGCAATTCCCTCTGTAGAAAACTGTCCTGGTTTTGGCTGGGATAGTGTTAATTTTCTTCCTAGTAGCTGGTATAGTGCTGTGGTTTGGATTTAAGATGAGAGTATTTTGATAACAGTGATGTTTTATTTGTTGCTAAGCAGTATGTAAACTACATCAAGGATTTTTCTGTCTCTCACCCCACCCCACAAGCAAGGAATCTAGGGACACAAGAAGTTGGGAGGGGACATGGCAGGGACAGCTGACCCCAACTGACCCATGGGATACCCCATATCATGTGGTCTTCTGCTCAGTATATAAACTAGAGGGAGAACTGGCTGGGGGGCCTCTGCTCTGGAGCTGTCTGGGCATAGGTCAGTGGGTGGTGAGCATTGTGTACCTCTTATTTTGTATATTCTAATTCTGTTATTTTTTTCCCACTGTTTCTGTCTTATTAAACTGCCTTTATCTCAAAACACAAACTTTATTTTTTTATTTCCCAGTTCCCTTTCCCATCCCACAGAGGTGAGGGGAGGAGAGAGTGAATGAGTGGCTGTGTCATTTAGATACCTGCTGGGTTAAACCATGACAAGAGCCTTTATACTGCCCTTGCTCTCTCTGTGAGAGAAACTCATGTTTCACGAGTCCCTGTCTCATTAGAGTCAGCTAATGATGTAGAAAACTCTTTGCTACCTCCCAGCCAGGGAGCAAGCTGAAGCCTAAGGCAGGTTTTCCTTGTCTTCAGCAGTGGTGTGAACAAAATGAACAGTGCAAGAGGTTGCATTTGCCAGAGCTGCTGGTCGCTCCTCTGCATCGACTGACGCGCTATCCTCTCCTCCTTAACAACATCTGGAAGAGGAGCACTGATGAAACAGAGAAAGGCCTTATCCAGTCACTTAAGGAGAAAGTGGAAAAGTCCATAAGTAAGTATGCAATTACCAACTAGCAAGTTACCTGGCTTTTTTGTGCATGTCTTTTGGAGTGTGAATTGGTCCAGTCTGTCTGCAGAAAAGCAATGAGGATGTTCCTGCCTTTCTACAGTCCTGAGCCTCATTCTGTAGGGAATTACTTGGGCCACCTTGTGCTGCCAAAGCTTCTCTGAGCAATGCCACAGGACTCCCAAATCACTGAGTCACTTGTATTTTCTCAGAATCATCTGCATGACAGGCAAACAACTAAGAGCAGATCACAAATTGGAACAAACCAAGAAATATCTCAAACAAAGAAGTCTTTGAGTGGGATTTATGTCTTGGGAGGATTATTTTGTGGCTGATTCTTAATAGGATAAATTTGCACTCACAAGGGGAATAATACGTCCATGACCTTTCACTAATGAAAGGGTTCTACCATGTAAAGTAGCTGAAGAGTTGTCTCAGCTACAGATTTTCTCTAAGTATTGTGGAAAATAAGGGGTTGGTCTAGGTATTAATTTTTTCCTGCATTTTGTTTTAGGTAAATAATTTATTAATTCTATATTATTTATTAACTCAGTCTTGTTCAAGAAGCTTTAAATGCATCTCTAAGTGTCTTATGGTCATATAGTTCATCAGCAGAGATTTATTCCCCAAAGGCTTCATGCAGTCCCCACTGAAGTCAGACATGACATTACATCAGCAAAACACTTATCCCAGCAGTCTTGACAGGGAGAAGTGCCAAATAGTGCTTCATTCTCATGAGCAGCACATCAGGGCCTTGAGCCACCCAGTATGGTTGGTCACTCTGTGCTGCCATCCTTCTCCTCATACCAGAGGCTGAAGGCTTGAGTATCTCCCCAGGAGATGAGGAAGAGAGAGAGTTAATGTATTCTACAGATACTTCTTCATGGGTAAATACTCCCAATGACAGAATGACCACCTAAAAGAGAGACTCGGGTTCTTTTTCTTCTTGCCAAGTCTCATGAGGTGTCTATCCTAATGCCACACAAGAAGCACACTTTTCTGCACAGAACGGGTCCCATAGGAAAATAAAGAGGTCTTGTTGATAGCCTAGAGATGTCTACTGGGAGGACAGCAGTTTTAGGTATGGCCCCAAAAGACCATGGGATATCTGGGGAATATTACTGGCAAAGAAATAGGTCCTTTCAGAAATTAGAGACCTCTGGGTAAAGGAAACCAAAGATAGAGAGGTGATCCCTCTTTATTCACAGACACCTGACAAGGATCTGCCTTCATTTTTTGATCAGTGAATCAGTGACAAAAAGACAGTTGCAGTCTCAGCATTACCCTTCTGGTGGAGAGGTGTGTGTCTGAAACCATCATCTGCACTATAGCTCAACCTGAAAAGTTGAAATTGAAGTTGCAGGTCCATTAGAGCTTTCCCCATATTGGCCCTAAATCTGCAATGACTGGCCCATTTTTCACATTCTGAGGCACCCTCACCCCAGTTAAATATTTCAGTCACTTCTGGCAACACTTCCTCCAAAATTAATTCTCAGTAATTTCAACAGTATTTTTATCAGGCTGTAAATAATGAAAATTATTTTTCTCTCACTATACCACACAGTTTAGAAAGGCAGGACCTTTTTAAAGATATTTTTTAAGATTACAGTTTTATTGAGTTTTATATGATTTCCTCTGTTCCTCAGACAGATTAGTAAACACAACCTTTTCATTTAGCAGTGAATTTAAGCATCTTTGAATGCATGAATTGAAATTCTGTCCCTGTTGATCTAAGAAGAGTTCAGGCATTTTTTACAATGAGGCCAAGATTTCATCTGGGGCCTCACATGTGAGGCACTTTGGTTTCACTGGAGAAAATCAGTATTTAGCATCTTCTAGAAACAGGACTGCTTATGCCAACCTTGGCAGTAACTGGGGTTTCACACATTTCAGGGGACCTGGAAGGTAAAGTCAAGTGGTTGGACAACTTTCAGAAGTTCAGGCAGCTGCAAGAGGTCATAATTTGGCCTCAGGTCTGGGATCGTGACAAAAGGTTCTTTGTCCCAGAGGTAAGCAGATTTGAAAGGGTATTTTTAACCTGGGGAGAATTTAGTTTCCTATCTATTTTTATAATGTGGTCTAAAGTTGGCTGGTTTTCTGTATTCTATTTACTGGGGATGGCTCTGCTCTAACAGGACCAGCTGCAAACACTGTAGCTGAACACACACAGTGCCCTGGATGACAGCATGGGTTGCGCTTAGTCTTCTCAACTTTCCCTTACAGTACTTGTTGGCTATCGGTCTCGTGCCTGTATTTAGCCTTAGATGGAGTTTACCACCCACTTTGGACTGCATCTAAGGCTAAATACGGGCACGAGACCGATAGCCAACAAGTACCATAAGGGAAAGTTGAAAAGAACTTTGAAGAGAAAAGAGAGCAAACTCTCTTATCTGCACTTTTTTATATGTTGTGTTATTGAAAGGAATGATATGGAATACTTCCTTAGATTCCTGACCCCATCGCTAAGGAAGGCCTAAAAATCCAAGAAACCAACCCACTACAGCTTAGCTAGCATCCAAGAGAGTGCAATCATACAGTCCAGGAAGACTCTCCAATATTTGCTTTTAGGGGACAGAATGAAATGGGATACATGTAAGTATTACCACCATTTTACAAAGATATTAATTAGAAATTATTTGCCTCTCTCACTCCTTGAGCTGAGCCAAAGAACTTTCCACTTACATTTTAGTAGCATTACAAAAAAATTATACATTACACCTGGGTGTGCACCTTTCTGCTGCAGTTATACCCTTACCCAAATAGACAGACTTTAAGCAGCACTATGGTAACATCATCGAGTCTCACCTCAAGGATTTTGTCTGTTCACATACAGGGCTGCAAAAACTATTAAACTCACTTCAGAAAAGTAAACCTCAGCTTAACATTTCAAAAACATAAATACATTTAAGCAATAGCACTGCTGAAGAAACACAGCTGTGCTCAGTTATCAGCTGTGTGACCTATTTAGCCTGAGACACGAACACATGTATCTCCCAGTTCACCATCAAATATGCAAGAATACTCATTTTCTCTCTCTCTCTTTTGGGTCAAGGGTTTGAAGCAAAGCTTAAGAGAAAACAGCAGTGAAAACATTTTGTCTTCGGCGAACAGGCGTCTCCTTCATGAAGGGAGGCTGATGTTAGCAGGTAATGTCTCTGAATGTCCTGGTGTTGCGAGATAGCTTAACAGAATTATACATTGTCATGGCAGGTCCAGAATGAACCTCTGCAATAGCACTTAGGCAAGTGCATGAAAGAAAAAGCAAATTTACAGCTTGTCATAGAGAGATTGAGATACAGGCAAATTGCCAAAAGGATAAGTAGTCTGTATGATTGCTTATTGCCACATCTGGCTACTCAGTCTGCCAGGTGCTGAAGAAATCAGTTTGGCTGGCCAAAACCTGCCACTCAAAGGAAGCCTTTGCTGTCATATTGAAAAATGTGGAAATAGGAAAACAGGCAGTTTAGACTGTCCTATACAAAGTGCCCCACATGGCAGGGGACTGATGTCAACATATCTCACTGCTCTAGCACCATGTCTAGTATGTGTTTCCCTGAAAATTATCGAGTCCAAAGGTATTTCCTATTTTTATTTCAACATCGTCTCTACTAAGTCTGCTGTTCTGATAGATATCTTGGAACAAGAAGGTGTTATCCTGCCAGGTGGCTTCCCTTTCATGAGCAGAGCTCTCATACAATATGCCATTAACTTCACAGGTAGCAGAGTGAGCCCACACAAGCAAGTTGATTTCTACAACACTTACTATCACCCTTGTATGATGATATCAATTAACATTTCATCACTGCAAAGGCACATGAAAAGGGCAGCATACCAGGAAAAGGTGGCACTTTCCCATTTCTCTGCCATTTTCAGAAGTTTCACTGCTTACCAGGCAGGATTTGCTATCTATATCATGCTGATTGTTGTATTTGTACGACATTGATCCAGGTAATTTTTCCTGGCAGGCAAGTAGTTGTTTAATTACAATGAGGTAGCTGCTACAAGGTACAAGTATTAGTAGCCAAAACGACCAAGTAACATATGATTTACTGTGTTTGACACAGACTCACACGACGAATGAGTAGTTGTAAACTATTGGAAGCGAGGCTTCGCTGTTAAAAGCGTTTTGTACGATGCCGTGACTCACAGATATGCCTCATCTTAGAAGCAGCAATTCCTTAAAATAATCACACCGTAAAATTGATTTTTTTTGTTTTCCTTCTCAGAAAGCACAAGACTCCTTGATGTCTACCTCTTCCTATTCGATGATTTCCTACTAATTACCAAAATTAAACGTAACAAAAAGGTAATAACATATAGAGATATACATGGTTGCAGTTGTAATGTTTTTTAGTTTGGTAAGTATTTTGAAGGTACTTTAGCAGATTGATCTAACAACAAAAATACAAGATGACTAATCAGCATGAAGAACGATAATACCTTATGCTAACAGCAAACCATAACACTGATTCAAAACCCTGCTTCTAGGCTCAGCATGTTACAGGAACGCTACTGTAGGAAAATTTACGTTAAAAGACCTTAATATTTTCTTGATGTTGCTCTCATGCTGGATTCCTAAATCTCAGAAAAGGTTCAAGAATGGAAAAAGTTTTCTAATGTTCCCTGGATGACTCAGTTCAGTAACCTGAGATTTTTTTTATCCGAGAGATATCAGAATTGTTAGAAAGAAAGAAAAAAAAAAGGAAAAAAAAAAGGAAAAAAATAAGGAAATGCTAAAATTATAGAAGGTTGGCTTTATTCTCAGTTCCTACATTGCCTGTTGTCCTCTCTTTGCCTTGATTTCCCCTAGCTTAAAGCTAAGATATAGTGACTCTGTTCAAGACAATGTTTCTTGATGAATGGTGTTATAGAGTTCTATAAATAATAAAGACCTGTATTTAGCCACCAAAGAAAGCCACTGAATGACCCAAACTTCCTAAAGCTTCAGTGTAGGAGTGCATCTAGCTAATTCAGTTTATGAAGCTGATGTAAAAAAAGTCTAAATGGACCTTTGCTAAATCTCAACAAGTTTGCATCTGATTTAAAGACTTCTTGCGGTGGTTTTTTTTTTTTTAAGAAGCAGGTGTTCTGCTTTAGAGAGAAAGGAGACAGAGAAAGCATGCAGTAAGGGATTTGGGACCAGCAGCACCATCCCTTAGAAACAGTGGTGGTGAAGGAAGCAGAAATTCAAGGGACCTGGTACCCTCGGGCAAGTCTTTTCGAGGGTTGTCCCACATACACGTGTTGGTGAACCTTCTGTGAAGGGGTGCAACTCATCTGGAGCTCTGGGAATTCTCTATCTTCTGCATGTATGTGAGGGGAGATGGTGAAACACACCTCCAAGGAATGGAGAAAAAGATCTGCTATTAAAATAAGGAGGGAAGGTGAAAAAAATCCTTTTGAACGTCTTTGGCTGTTTTCTGCCTGTGGCAAATAAGCTGTCTGTATATCTTTGATAAGAGAAAGCACATGATTTAGAGCTCTTTAGTGCCTATACTTCATGAGCAGATGGCAGACAACAAGCTAACCAGCTTCATTTTCTATTCCCAGAAATATGGGGGCTCAGACACCAGCTTAATCTCTGTCTGTCCTTCCCTCACTCCTGAGCTGCAGTCCATCATAAGAGAGGGTGGATTTTGCACAGTCCTGGACCAGCCCATCCCACTAGACAGACTGAGACTGAAAAACATTGAACCCATCCAAGTTACAGGTATGTGCCTGCATGCATTTGAATGCCTTCATAAACACCACGTCAGTGCACTCTGTGTGTGGTAGTATAAGGATAAGATGCTGTTTGTCCACAAACCCCCCCAGATGCCTGGAGTGCAAACACAAGTGCCTCAGCACTGTGGCTTCACAGCTCTGCTCTTGCTGTGAGGCATGAGCTACTGCCACAGCCTTTACACCCCATGGCCCCCTGCCTCTAACAGTGACTTTCACACACATACCAGCGACTGTCAGGTATTATCCATTCACCTCAAAGGAGGAAATAAGACTCAAATTACTTCTTTCTCACAGGCCAAGTATTTCCCTGCCCTAACCGTCCCTCTGTCAAATCCTGGGCCTCTTTCTCAAGTACATTTTCAATTTCATACTAGTTATGCAGCATTTTTTCACCTTTCCCACTACATTGTTCTCCCAGGGGTCCTCCCACATGCACAGCAGCCATTCTCAAGGAGGCTGGAGAGGAGATTTACCGCCTGTTGCTACTCCTACTCACCTCTCCATCAGTCCTTGAGAGGATGAAAATCACCCACCACACACCAATGCTTCCTTGTTCTCAGACATCCAAATGCATCACTGGGAAAAACAACCTCCTATAACTGGTGCTGTGCAGTTGGGTGAGGAGGGGAGGAGGACTGACTTCTAGTGAGAGTGACCAGCCTTACCCTGTCAAAAAAACATTCCTGAAATCACCAAATTAGAGCTGGGGTGAGGGACCAGGCATGAAACATCAGACCTCCCCTTGGTCTGAGCTGCTGATGCAGACTCTCACACACCTAACCATGGTGGTGATTGATGCTACGTCCAGTTGGTGGCCAGGCACTAGTGATGTTCCCTAGGGCTCAGTCCTGTTTAACACCTTTATAAAAGGCCTGTATGAGGGAAGTGAGGGCACTCTTAGTTCACAGACTACTCTAAGTTGGGTGGCAGTGTTGATTGGCTGGAGGGTAGGAAGGCTCTGCAGAAGGATCTGGACAGGCTGCATCAATGGGCCAAGGCTTTGAAAGGGTGACATGCCAGGTCCTGCACTTGAGTCACAACAACCCTGTACACAACAAATCTGTGTGGTGCTACAGGCTTGGGAAGAATAGCTGGAAAGCGGCCCAAAGGAGAAGAACCCAGAGGTCCTGGTCGACATCTGACTGAACACGAGCCAGCAGTGGACCCAGGTGGCCAAGAAGGCCAATGGCCTGTGTCAGAAACAGTGTGGCCAGCAGGACCAGAGAAAATATTGTCCTCCCTCTGTACTCGGCACTGGTGAGGCCACACCTTGAGTACTGTGTCCAGTTCTGGGCCTCTCACTACAAGAAAGACATTGATGTGCTGGATCGTGTCCAAAGAAGAGCAACAAAGTTGATGAGGAGTCTAGAGGGCAAGACTTACGAGGAGCAGCTGAGGAAGCTGGGGGTGGTTAGCCTGGAGAAAAGTAGGCTCAGGGGAGACCTTATTGCTCTCTACAATTACAGGAGGTTGTAGCCAGGGAGGGGGTCAGTCTCTTCTCCCAGGCAACTAGTTGCAGGACTAGAGCAAATGGCCTCAAGTTGAGCCAGGGGAGGTTCAGGTGAATCAGGTTCATCAAGAAGAATTTTTCACTGAAAGTGTGATTAAGCATTGGAATAGATTGCCCAGGGAGGAGGTGGAGTCACCATCCCTGCAAGTGTTCAAGAAATGACTGGACATGGCACCTAGTGCTATGATCTAGTTGACATGGTGGTGTTCAGTCAAAGGCTAGACTTGATGATCTTGGAGGTCTTTTCCATCTTAATGGTTCTGTGATTCAGTCTAACACTGCCAAGATCACAGGAGCCTCCTATATCAAAGAGAATTAAAAGAAATACAAATCTCTTGGCTGCAGGGTCATCCTAATCCTAAAGACAGAGGAAAAGCTTAGGGAGCCAGAGTGCTCTGTAGGAAATCAATAGATAAGGAAAATAAACCCAGAGCCTGTAAAATTTATGATAACTTTGAAATATATTCACCTAGAGTATTTAGCATTCAGCATCAATGCTGAGAAGAAATAAAGTTAGGCAATAAAAGGCAAATGACTAAATATGAGATAAGGGGATAAACAGAGAATAACAACCCTTTTTTAAATGTGCTCCAGCACTGTCTGCCTGCTTAAGTTGTCTCCCTATGAACCCAGCAGAAACAGAGCAAACACATTAGCCACCTCTTGCCTGCAGGCTGGAGGAGAGGGCAGCCCCACATCCTGTGTAAGCCCAGGCAAGGTGCCAGGTCGACAGCTTCTGCAGCCACTCTCCAGTTTGCATCTAGAAGATTGGCCAAAAAATCCATAATGGGAATGGGAATAAGATTTTTGGAATTTTTTTTTCCAAGACAGTATTTCCTACATTCAGAGATTTCTAATCAGGGTCTTTCTATCTTTGTGATCCAGCATCAGAATAGACAAAGTTGCCTTCTGCATCCCAGCCCAGGTTCTGTCCACTGGTTATGACATTACCTGCAACCTGGACCTCATTGCCTGACTTCTCTACAGCTACAGCTGTTCTTTCCAGCTACAGCTGTAGCTATGGCAGTCTCTGCTACTAACTTGTAATCTTGCAACAACTTGGAAGCCCCATCCTAATACAGGACCCCTTGGGGAGGGGTACAATAAAAATAGTGAGAAAAATTACTGTAGAGAGCTTGCAGTTCAGATTTCCACCATTCTGTGTAAAATAACAAGCAAACCTTCTAGTGTCAACAGAAAATGTCCCTTTGCAGGGGAAAAAAAAATAATTAAATATTGTCTGGAATGTATGACCTTGGGGAACATTGCCAATCTATTTGCTGTCTCAAGGAGACTTTCACTGCTGGTAGCACTAAAAGATTAGTTAGTATGTTCTCAGAAAGTACATGTGATCTATTGCATTAATCAAAAATGAAATCCTGATTTTTGATCTAACTTTTGCATCCATTAGTTTGCTGAGGGTTGAACTCACTTTGGAAATAAACAAAGCTCAATACAAGTACTAGAAAAAAAAAATATGTTGCAATATCATAGAAACACCCTTTTGGCAGCAGGCAGGAAGCTAAAAATTATGCAAGATAATTCTAGTCCAAAGCCACCTATGTATCAGTGAAGGGACAAGAGGTAAAATGGTTTGCTCATAACACCAGGAAGCTACTGTAAAAGCAGAACTATCTGCAAATACCATAACAAAACTACAAGAGATGTAATTTTACATGTAACTGTTACAGAAGGAACACATCTCTGAAGGTTGTAAGCAGCAACATAATTTCTGATTAGAAGATCACTTTCCTTTTATCATTCTGCTCTGGATTTAATCTTTGCAACTACTTATTATTGCTCCATTAATAATGTTTACACTACATTTGAAAGGGCCAGACCCACTGGTATGTTACTGTATCAAAGACTGGTAATCTTTACAGCCACAGAATTGCTTTTAGAAAACATTATTGAGACCTTGATGCCAAGCATTGCCCAGAAAATTCATTTTTAGAACTGTAAAGTTCTATTTCCTATTGACCACAGACAGGCAGAAGGCATGAGTTCAGAAACATATTTCCTCTGCTGCTACAAATTTCTGCTGCTGATTTGCTGCAGTACTTTACCAGTCTGTGCTCCATTTCCCTTTCCTAGAAAACTAGGATTATAGGGCTCTTCATCTTGCAGAAACATTCTGAGCACTTGGAAATGCTTGGACAGGAAGCACTACACAGCAGCAAGATATTGTACATAGTACAAGACTTCAAGCTATATGGACTAGATGAATTTATCAAAAAGATATGTCAACTGCAGTAGGCTCAGAAAAACGCTGCCTTGTCCCAGCAGCTTGAGATCTGAGCTCTTCTCAGGCTGCATGGATTCAGGAGCAGAGCTCTGCTTAGAGTGAGCACTCACAGGGAGGCAATCCCACACCTCGGTCACCATTGCTTCATTTAGAGTAACATCAACTCCAGTTAAAAAAAAAGCAATGCCATGTGAATCCAGAGCATTAAAACAGGTTGCTGTGCCCCCTCCCTGCTACTACCAGCCCACCCAAGTATGCCTGTTGTCTACCGCAGGGTTTTGGCTGCCTGAAGATGCTTTTCCCTCCTCTTCCCCTAAACTTGCTTCATAGCAGACTTAAGCCACCCCTTCATTCCAGACGTGACATTCATGTTAATTTGTCCCCTTGCAAAGAAACCTTCCACATGATGCTCAACGTCATCTTCAGGACCAAAAGTCTGGCAGGAAACAGACTGGCAACATGCTTGGCCCTGCAAGATATTGCTGTCAGCAGCCAACTGGGGGCATCCCCAGAATGAGAACCAGCTCAGGCACACACCCAGGAAGAACCCACACCCACCATTAGCCCAAGTGCAGCCACTTTCCTATGTGGCAGTCGTCATACGGACTTCTTTAAACAAAATAAAAATAGGGCCTTTCTCTTCAATTTTTGATACTTGTTCTCCCCTAATTTCAGTTATGATTTAGTCCACTCTGAAGGGAAATATTTCTTAATGATCCTCAGCTAAACTTAAAAGCACCTTAGCTGCACAATGATAAAGTATTTAAAAATAAAAGAAATGCAAGCAGAATTACGATTTTGAAATAAGAAAGCTTCCCACACAACAAAAAAATTGACCCTATCAGGGTTGAAGAGATGATTACATATATCATTTCTTCATTCATAATCGATGTGATATAAAATGGGACTGATAGCTATATGAGGTGCATTTATATCAGTTCTTCACATTTTTCCACAGTCTTCAGCCTGCGAAATGCTTTCCTAATACAGCACGAAAACAGGTATCGGCAGTGTATAGCGGTCTTCTTGCTACAAGCTCCAACAGAGACTGCCAAGGTAAGTAGCACATCTTTTTTTTCTTCTCTAATTATACAACTACACTTTCCCTAAAGGAGGCTGGCAGCCTAAAAGTGGTCATGCTGTGATAGGAATCTATTACAATTGTGACATTTGACCAAAAGCAAAACAAAACAAAGTAACACCTTGGTGCTTTGGCTCACACATTTGTTACAGAATTTTTGCTGTTGAACATGTACCAGCTTTATATCAGGGTTGACAGCAGGTCACATTCTTGTTGAAAAACATTATCAATTCTGATTGCTTAAAAAAAAAAAAAGAGCCATTTCTTATGTCACAGAAGATGGTCAGCCCCTCCAGAGGAGTCAACACCAAACCCTGCCCACCAACTCACATGCAGTAGTACTCAGATCAGAAAACTGTCTTATGCTCATCTAGCACAACATGCATCTTGTAGTTTGAGACTGAACAGATGGTATGATTAATTTCACTGTTATATAAATTTGCCCCTCATTTTCACACCATATCCCATTTCTAGTAACAGCACTGTATATAACATCTGAAAGTGTGTCAGGCACTTCACAGTATTCCACTTTCTCATGTAAGTTGAATTTCATTCTGCAATACCTAACGCACAGAAGTTTGACCACCACTAATACTAATGCTTAAAAGTAAATGGCAGTAGACTTTTTCAAGAAAAAGCAATGAGTGAATTCTTTCCATATCCAAGTCACTGGTTGGTACTTGGAACAGATATCTACTCAAGAAGTTGTTACCTTTTCCTGTTACTGACATATGACCTTTCCTTTTCAAAGCTGCCTTCACACCAGGGCTACCATCTTCTCAATGTCATAGAATCAGAGAATAGTTTGGGTTGTAAGGGACCTTTAAAGGTTTTAGTCCAAAGAATTAATCCTTTTAAGAGTAGTCCAATATCTAATCATAGCAATTCAGAGACAACTCAGCTTCTGTGATCAGACCATCTGCATTAGCAGAGAGAGAAGGAAGTTACATATTTTAAATTATCTCTCCAGCCATCACCCCCTGTCCTCGTGCCTGGATGACAGCAACTATAGAGCTGAATGTTGTCAGTACAATGACAGAAACTGAAATTCAGATGGCAGCACACGGCAGATCTTGGAAGGGAACACAACTTGCAAATAGAACTGGGGCTGTCTTAATCAGAGGAACAGAGGCACTAATAAACATCACATAAAAACGGGTGAAATAGCCTGCAACAAACTTCACCATTACAAGCAAACAGAGCAAATCCTACCTTCCAATCAAAAAGGAAACATACACTGGAAACCTCTGGCCACAGACACAGATTCCAGCAGTGTGTAGTGGCCTGAACAAGAGCCTGAAGAAAGGCTAAATAAAACTAAAGGCTCTGGGTGTTTATGCATCTGAATTAATGGAATTTTTTTAGGTTGTCTTGGTTTACAAATATTTTTTCTTGTTACAGAAAGCATGGAAGTCACAGATAGAAATGGCAATTGCTAATTACACCACAAGACATGAAACCAAGAAAAGCACTGAGTTCTGCTTCCCAGTTGAATCCTCTGAAATTTAATAATGCCAGCACTGCACTGACACAGCCAGTCGAAGATTGCTGTGGTGATAACACAGTTATCTCTTCCAGACTGCCTTAAGTTTCTGAAACTAACAGATTTCTGACTTGACAAAAGTCAGCAGTTCGGACCATGCCATGTAGGAATAAATTGGAGGGGGAGAATGAGACATGAAACAAATGTATGGTTCCTAGAAGCTATTTTGCTTTATTTAGGGAAGACTGTGTCCATCCAAGGAAGCTTTAATACAGCTTGTAATTTCCTAGAAAGCGTGACAGGAAAAAAACCCTATGTTGGTGAGGAGAATTCATTCACCAGAGAAGTCTAGAAGGCTTATTCCATCATTCAAACTGTATTAATAAATTTCATTAAACTACAATTGTGTAGCCATAGCTCCTGATAGTTATGCATCTCTACCTACTGAACTATAATATCACACAGCGGTTTTTTGCACATATGTGTATATATGTATATATGTATATATATGTACGCACTTACCTGGTTCAGTCTCTCCAAATGCAGCCTAGTCTGCTGTAATACACACACTCCTGCTCTTCTCCTGTGCTTATGATGGGCAAGCTTTCTGGGAAAGGAACAGCCACTCAGACTCTGTGCCAAGTGGTGAATGTGTAAAGCAGGAGAGCAGAACAGAGTGCAGACGGCAGATCTGCACAGGGACAAGCTGCAAACATTTAGCCACAACTTGGCTGACATGGTCGTGCTCCATGTACCCAATCCCAAGCTCAGCTGCACACTGCATCATACCTAGTGCTCACCAGAGGCTCACAGTATCTTGAAACCAATGCTGACAGGACAGGCTCACAGTATCTTGAAACCAATGCTGACACCTGACAGACTAAGCTCTGTGCTTTGTGTGCTGGCAGAAGGACGTGAGTATTTCACTCTGTATATATTTTTTACCAAAACAACCTTAAGCCACATCTGCTCACTTTACAAAACAAGTAGTGCCCGAGGTTCTGTAATTCCAGGAGGCCAGCATGTCTCCAAGGAGGACAGTAGTCACACACAGGTTGTCTTCATGGAGACACAGGCTCAACAGGCTCCTCTGTGGTTTCAAGAGAAAGACACCTCAGAAAACAGTCGAGGCAGAAACTGACTTCCCAACTCAAATTGCCTTTCAGAGACCTCTTCTCTCCATCTTTGTCCATTTTAACATAGACCCCCAAGCAAGATCTGCTTCAATAGGCAAACACAGTTTTTTGTTAATGCTCCCACATTAATCATCTGGCTTCTCTCTGCAACACAGTTCCACCCCAAAGGAGCTTTCCATCTCACAAGTAAGACTTTCATTAGTCTAAAAAATAAAATAAGTCCTACTTTTGAGTCTTCTAGTTATGCCAGTTGTCCAACTGAATGTGATGTCTGAACAGTCACTGGCAGAAGGACTCCAATCATATGTGGGATACCCAGCAACCTTGTACAGCTACTGGGAATTGAAAGCCTACTCTGAATTTAACCTGTGAAAAAAACAGATTTGAAAAATAGTCATTATGACTCTGTCCTCAGGAATGTGAAAGCCTTTGTTGCAGCTCCCCCTAAGTCCAAGAAACTGGAGTGTTTAGCTTGTTCTTGGATGTGTAGCTTCGCAACAGTTCATTTGTAAAAACTATATATCCCCCATTTCAAAGCAGCTTTGCTGCCTGAAATGGGGCAAGGTAGTTTTGAATGACATAACTGGTCTATTAGAAAGGTCTAATTTTTTTTATTGTTATTAATAATTCCTTCAACAGGTTAGAAAACAAAAATGACATTTCAGTAACATTTCATTATCATTTATAGAGAACCAGTTGATGCATGGTGTCATCTTCTCATCCAAATCCACAGCAACCTTCCAAATCACAGAGTTTAAGAATTACAGTGCACAGTGGACTAAATTCTTTCACAATGTAAGGCACAACTACATGATCACAAGTAGTAAACACAAACACTGAACATAGAACTTAAGAGACTCAAACTTCAATTAAAAAGAAACAAAACCAAAACACACTCATGCAAAAAAAAAAATCTATCTACGCCTATCAAGATGATATGATCCAGTTTAAAAGAAGTACAGTACTCTGTAAGTAAAACCGCAACGTAAGTCTATTATTGTACATTATTTCTAAATACTGGATAAAAACTTATAATTTTTTCCATTTATATTTTATACAATTATACAGAAATTAAGCTGTATGAACAATATTCACATCTGCAATAACAAACTGATCATTAAAATTCAGAAAAGGCAAATGAGACCATGTACTTTGTGGCACGCATCCATTACAGAATACCATTCATCAAGTTCATATCTTGAGTACTGAAGAAAAAGACAACCAAATTAATGGTACATTTGGTGTCTGAGGCTATCTATATCCAAATGACAAAGCTGCATACAAAATTGTTTTTACCCAGCAGACTGCAATTATGAAAGCCTGTGGTTATGATTTATTTTCTGTTCAGCAGCTAGAGTTTGCAAGGTTGAAACTACAGAAATTAAAAGAATATAAGAGAGTGTATAATAACTTGAAAATGTTGTATACTTTCAAACACACATTTAAAAAAAAGACAACTTTCTTTTCCTTTTTGGTGGTAAACTTTTGCAATTTTGGCATTCACTATAACTTTATTCACTATAACTATAACAGTGAGAAAACCTTATTAAACTTACCTAATGTTTGAATTTCACACTGAGAGGTAGTTTAAATGAAATCTTATGTAATGGCATCAAAAGGGGAGGTTTTATGATTTTTTTTTGTGACTTTTTTTCTTTTCTTAGAAAAGTGACAATTGCTATACAAGCAGCATTTTGGACATATTACTATAAAAAGTTCTGGTATTTGCTAACCCAACGAGACGTTCTTTCAAACATCCCTTTTGTGCCAGGAATGAAGCTTCAGCACGACACAATGGAGGATTTTGCCATAAAGCCAACAGCAGCAGCCTGGACCTGCCAGCACCAGCATGTTGACATATAACAATGAACACTTTTCCCCAGCCCTCTTTACTCAAAAAAGATGAGAAATACAGATGAATTTGGGTTTAGTGTTTAGTTTAGGCCATAGGGGGAGGGAAAATTGGAAAACACCAGGCTTCTGCTTTCATAGTAACATGAATCCAAAGGGTTAGCAGGGCTCCAGTAATGTTCAAATGCACAGATACTTCTCGATCTGCTGCACAGTGAGTGCATAGTGTGTGGAGAGCTACAGGCAATAGGTAGAGTTTATTACATTACCCAGTACCTGTAGTCTTCCTTATTGTGAACATAAATGGTATCTAATATTCTCTCTAAACATGCAAAAGTCTTTATTCAGTGCCCCTTAAAAACAGGAACAGAAAAATACCCCCAAAACTGAGTTTCTGTGGTGGGACTTTATTATCCAGTTATAGCTGGTTTTGAAAAGTACATCATTTAGTGCTTTTGGAGAGGCTGTGGTTGGACAATAATTTTAAACCTATCCTAGAAGGAATGCTGAGGCCAAGACTTCAGAAGCTAAGAACTAGACAACTGGCAAGATCCTTGAAAATACAAAAAATTCATTTTTTCTCATTTTATAATCTTAAAATTAAGTTCTACAAAGACAACATGTATGCGACAAACATGTTTTTTGCTGTTACATGTGCTCTCAGATGATGATTGTGTTTTTGGTAAAAGGAATTGTGAGTACAATTCTCCTTACATAGCAAGGGACCAAATGCATACAGTGAAAAATCCAGCTAATAATAAACCTTCTGTCCAATGACTACAGCTAATAGATGCAATGCAAATTATGTCATTCCACTTACTGTAGATCCTATTAGTTAGACAGCAAAAAGTGCACAGTGCAAATGACAGTGCTGTTTCCTACTCCTGCGAGAATATGACAGCAGGAAGGGTGATACTTGGAGGAGTAATTTATCAGTTTCAACATACTCAAACCAGGATATCATTCTTCTTGGTATAGTTTATATTCTGTTGAAATTCAGCTCCAGCATTTTTCTGTCCATCACTGAGTACTGACCATAAATTTTTAAAGTTTTGCAACAAGCATTTGTTCCAAATTTGTGGTTAACTGATACTTAACAATCCAGAAAAGTACCCGAGTTTTCCAGATCCCTTCTTTAGGAATGTTATTTCTCTTACACCTAGCATGAGAGACTCAATTGTTCTTGTTCATGTAATACAAACACAGAAAGGTTACTTCATGCTTCTGCTCCCAAATCCCTTCTTGCTCCACTAAGAAAGCTTTTCCAGTGAGGATTCACAAATAATCCTCAAGGTCCCAAAGCCAACAAAAGTAGTTATTCATTGTTCTTGTGTACCTAGCGCTCCACACTCCATGGCAACTCGGTTACTTGACACCTTCCAAAAACAGAGGAAAAAAACCCACACAGTACCCTAGAGCCTTGGACTCTTGTGCCAGAGAGTGAAGCCAGCTGAAAAATGAGATCCCTGTAAACCGCTTGCCTCTGTTGGAAGCTCCAGCAGAAAATTCCTTTTGTCTCTTCATCTGCAGACAGCAACTTTTCCTACTGTGGCTCACTAATTTTATCCTCTTTATTCAACCTTTGCAGAAGGGGGAAGATTACTGTAGGGAATACGGGGGGAGAAGAAATAAATAACAGAGAAATAAATACAGCCATCTAAGATCAAAAGCCTACCACTGACCTCTGCAAACCTGCCTCTAGAGGGGTTGCAAGACAGAAGTATGATGTATTGCTGACACGAGGACAGAGTGGAACAGTGGGATTTGACATTTTGGAGGAAAACATGAAAGGGACTGGGGGTCTTTGACTGGGAAGACAGGTGATGTCTCAAGGAAGTTAAAGAACCTCTCCCCACCCTTAACAAGACCGTCCTCACTGTACTTTTATGATAGCTTGTCTCTGCCCACGTAGCAGCTAGTCTGTCCTATTCTGCTCTCCCTGAAATTCTGAATGTGGACGGAGTGTCCTGAAGAGGAGACAGTTTCAAGAACAAAGCCCACACTTCACTGTCCCATTCCTGATGCCATGGCAATAACTAGTAACCAAAGGCAGCTTGAGGAACCCACACACCTACTGGTTTGAGTGCTGATTTTACCATTATTTTCACCTCTTCCTCTATAATGGCCATTCCTCAGTGAATCAGAGCAATCTGCCTCTTACTAGAGGCTGTGAAAACACAATACCATGCTTCCTCCAGTTCCAAGACCCTAGCCTCTTCTGCCATTTTATTAGTTTTTCCCTCTGTTCCTGTGTCTGTGGTCTGAAAAGTCAGTACACTAAACTATTTTGTCTGGAATCCTTTGACTTAGCGTTGTAAAAGTCACCAGGTTTTTTACTGGGTTTTCCTATTACTTAGATTTTAAAGCAGTGAAACAAAAATCCTACATTTCTACTGAAACATGCCCATCATAACAGTCAGAGTCTGTAGGCAGATTTGTAAATACAAAGCTTTTCACTTTCCAATTTCCCTTATTATGGGACATTTTACTGAGCTTGTGCACAACTTCCAACCTGGTAGTGAAGCCAATCGTTACAGGGTCTAGTATACCAAACACTCATCGACAAATACAGACCAGCACTAAAAATTTTAAGCACAAAAGGAGCATAAGACTCGACAATAGAGTCATAAATTTACTACAGTGAAAAACTGTAGAAATCCTGACCTATTGCTGCAGACTCAATGCTCAGGCAGAAAAGTTTACACCCCACCAACATTCCTCCAGATTTTAACAATATCTCTTTCTAAAAATGCGTGTTTGAAAAGCACTTCCATCCCCTTGAAAAGCTGGTCATATAAACCAGGCAGCTAAAAGCAACTTTCAAAAATTGAGCTGGTTTTGTCCCTGAATGTGAAGAGCTCCAGACCAAGGTGTGATCTGCAGTAAATCAACTGCAGTGTTTCAGCAGTCTGTTGAGTAAGGTGCCTCTCCTCATTACACAGTGGGATCCCAAAAGGCTAAAGAACAACCTTACTAGAGCTTCTACCACTGCAGAAGTCTCTCCTGAGCTTTCACACATTCCCATTCAAAAGCAAAATGCCTAAACATAAGTGAGTCTTTTAACCATTTTCTTAGCTCCCCCTGAAAGATTTCCCTCTTCCTCTGGAGCTGTGGGAACTTTCTCCCTTTCAAAATCCCTCCTGTTCCATGCGGTTGTCCTTCACCCTGAGGGCAGCATGAGACCCTCTGTGTTACACAATAGGGCAGAATGCATCTAGCCTGGAGCACGATTGTCACATCTTTAATTTTCCCACATTTCTAAAGTCCTGTGTCAGACAAAAAAGACTCCATAGCAAATTTTTCAGTTGCTCTCAATAAATAAATAAAAAACCCCAAAATTTCCCAGAGGCAGAGATTCTGTTTATATTTTCTATTCAAAAGATTCTTATGCCAAACAGTTACACTGATGAGGAGAAACAGGGAGTCCAGAGGCTCTGTTCATATGGAACTGTTGCAGCATTTTTTTTTTTTGAGCAAGCAATTCTCAAGTGCAAACCAAAAAAGTATGTCAGTATTTCACATAATGCACAGTTGTATCCCAAACCCTTTTACAGTGAGGAAAACCAGTTACATCATTCAGTTGGCTTTTGGGAAATAAGGATTTAATTTTAAGAAAACTCCTTGAAGCTGCAAATGTAGAACTAGACAGTTAAGAAGGGATATGAAACATATAGATCACTACTTCTGGAACAGAGGGATTAAGAAGTTTCTTCACTTGACAGTTAATCAGGACAAGATACTTTTCATAAAGGAGACTCTTCTTCATTCACATATAGAGTTGTCAATAGATAAAAGCAAACAAATCTTCCTGATGATGGCTAAGCTTCCATCACTGTGACAGAATTTCATTCTCTACCTTGGGCAAGAAGTAGAGGAATTCAGAACACAACCCTTTTCTCTGAACAGCTGGCAAAATTTGGTATTAGGGTATTTAAGACAAAGAGTCCCTAAATACTGGAAGGCATAACGCCTGCTCGGAAGAAATAATCTTAAGGATTTTGAAATAACAGATACAAAGGGAAGAAAAGCTAGAAACAGGCAGGCAAAAACAAAGAGGTGCAAACAAAATCACAACAAAACAGAAGTTTGGAGCCTACATGAACTGTACAAGAAACCTCTGTTGCAAGTACAGAAAATACAAATAAGTATCTAAAGACATGTATTGGCCTCTTAGTTAGAGCTGTTTGGCCTATAACGAAGCCAGTAGCAGGAGATTCACACCACCATTCCAAGCAGACTAAATCACATAACTAACATCACACTTCAGAGCCCTCAGTAATGGGGGTCAGATGGAGTAATGGAAAAGTGACACTTGTTAAGTGTAGCAGGAGTTCAGCTTCTTCCACGAAAAGCTGAGGGAAGGGACAGAATAAAAGGTCAGATGACCTGCAGTAGTCTCAAAAAAGACTTTTTCTTAGTGGGATACCTGGCTTGGAAGGTCTGGACGTCTCTCAGAACTGCAGGGATCTCTCAGTGCTTTCAGGGTACGGGTAGGAGCAGAGATGTGCTATAGGCTACTACCAGTATTGTTTGCTTTTTAAAACTGTGGTTTCTGGAATATTAAAATTCATCAACCAAATATGTAAAAGTGAAATCAATCAATAGGATGAAATATTGTAATGTATCATGTACTATTGCTACAATGCCAGATAAACTTTGCCTCATCATTTGTTCACACATACTCTCTCTCAGTAAGACAGACACACTCACACACCAACCACATAATACAGTATATGTAAAGATGTTCCAGTACACAAGTGTGGTATTTGGATAAGGACTTGGGTGCTGATACTACAAGTGGGCAAATAAAACTGAGTTGAAGTTGAATCCAGCCATTATGCTCACTCTGGAATTCAAACTTTAGAGAGAAAAATGCAAGAATCAGAGAGACAGAAAGAAAACAAAATCACAAGAGGTTATAAAGAACATCAGATATGCAATCAAATGCAACAATTAGTTATGCTTTTACAGCAACATCTGATACATAAAATCCTCACAAGTTTTTGCATCTTCCTTTTTCTTTGAAGGAAACAAGAATAAACTTCAATATCACAATAAACGCTGTTTCTCTTGAACAAAAAAATAAAAGATAAAAAAATACATTGTTACTCCTCTGTTTAAACTTTATTTACAAATAACTGGGTATTTCTAATCTAGACATAAAAGCTCTTTCCATGATAAATGGCAATAAGCTATGGATGATCTGAGCCCATATCTCACAAAAAATACAATAGTTTTGCTTGGTATCAATAAACATTTTAAAATATACTAAATCTTGCCAAGTGTTACAATCGTTGTTCAAACTGAATAGTAGTCTGAGTGCTGAACGAAGTGCATCAACAGAAATAGTAAATTTTAGTGTAACATTTCTTTGTCACTCACAATCGCCAGTTATCCTTGCAAGTCATTAAAGCAAGTATCACACACTCGGACAGGCTTCTTAGAAGAAGGAGTTAAGGCATTCTTTGCTGAGCACTCGGCACAAAAGATATTTCCACACTGTCTACAGTGATGCTGTGAAAGAGAAGAAACATACATGTTGAACATCAATGACAGGGTACTGATCATGACAAGTCAACTCTCATGTTTCAAAAATTAGTATGAACTTTCAAATAGTAGTTACATAGCACACAGAAGGGCATATAAGAAAATCCTTTCTAAAGGGTATAGGAGTAAAATATTCAGATGTGCTTCATCTGAGTCAAGAGAATACATCAGCTTCAGAAATTAAGTGGTTGAGGTTCATCCTCCTCTTGAATTTGTCCTCTTCCACATAAAATATGTTCTTCTTACACATATAACTAACTACTGGCTTTCACATTGAGAAGTATCCTTGAATCAAAGGATACAGCAGCCTTTGTTCAAAGACTACCCAAATTAACACAGGCCAGGGGAGTCACCTAAGACTAAGTCAGGAAGCTCTGCAAAATGAACCTCACAAATACCCGTTGCCTACTTCATTGCCAAGTCACTTGTTGGAGGGATGGTAATCTCTGGAAGAAGGGCAGACCTGGCCAACTGAGGCATGCTAACATCTTAGCTGACCATAACTGTTTTTTACGAAGAGGGTCTGACTGCGGACCTAAAACACATTCAGTTGTTTCTTCTGTTCCATGTCAAGTTAGCGTTTATATAGTCACAAAGCACCAGATGATGGTGATATCTCTATTTTCACACATACCTAATTTCAAACAATTTACACTCCTTTTATACCCATAAATCTAGATCAGACTGGTTATAAATATGTTTTCTGTAAATACCCTTACAACAGTGTAATTTTGCTTGCTTGTTCAGGTGATTGATGTATTTTAACACTGTTTATAAACTGATGCTGTCAAAATGGAAAAAGAATCATGAATAAAGTAAGCTCCATGGCCTTTATTTTTAATACATTAAGGCACTGCAAACAATAACTGTATTCTGAGATGTCTCATCACAGCACTATTTTCTGAAGTTTGCATCCCATCTAAGAGTTTGAAAACAACAGAAAATCCCCACAGACACAAAGTAAAACACACTTACCCTTCTCACTGTCACTGAAAAGCCTTTTCCACAGGCCATACAATTCTGTACCTCATTGTCTTCTGCCCACTTCCTGTTGAGAGCTTGGGTGTGTTTGATCTAAACAGATGTAAAAAAGCAGCATTTTTCTTTTAATGCATGTCTAATTCCCACTAATACCCTCTATTTCCACAGCATGCACTACCCACTGCAGTATAAAAGCACCAATTCTGTCATGATACTCAGAGTTTATATTTGTTCAGAAAGAAAACCTTCCCAGTTTCAGAACTATAAGCAGATTTAACAACCCACAGACAGCAGGATGGCCCTCATACACTACAAATGTAACATCTTAATTCACTTTAGAAAGGTAACTCACCACCAATCTGACACAAATTTGAAATTCTCATAAGTTCCCAAACAGAGAATCAACAGGTTTAATAGCTACAAATCAAATTATACCTGTAATGACTGGTTTTCTCGGCCAAGTTCCTGCATTGCAGCAGTTGTGTTGTCCAGCTTTTTCTTCATTTCTACGAGTTTGGCTTGAAGCTTTTCAATTTCTCCCTCACTTTTTATACACCTGCAGAAAAACAATTAGTCAGTGCAAAGCATTTAAGGCTTGTACACTGCCTCCTTTGGGCAGGTTGTCATGTCTGAGAATTTACTCCCATAAAATCCAGCCAAAAAAATCCTTGATGTGAAAAGTTCTTGGATGCCTTGACTAGAAAAATGTTCTGTTGTAACAATCAGTTTAAGATTATCTGACATTGCTCCTAAGTATCTGCAGCTTATTAATACCTAGAGTTATTCCCAAAACCAAAAAGGGACAATGCTGAATGCAATCCATCAACAGCAAGTCCCGATAAACACTCCCACGCAACATGACACTCTCACAAACCACCTGCTGCAGATCAGGTCAAACAACAAAGCAGAAAAGAAACCACCCTCTTTTAGTAAGACCACCTCCCATCAGCTGAAATTCAGTTAACTGTTGAAAGCCAAATTTCAAAGGGTGTTTTTCTGCCAAGCTGTAAATGGCTATGGGATGAGTTCAGCACAGTACAGCAAGGGATTGCCAAAGAAAGAGGATCTCACTTGAATTGATCCCATCCTTTCCCAAGGTCTCTGCTCAAAAAACAAATCAGCAAGCTTGACAGTACCAATAAAAGTTTTCCACCCTGACTTCATCAAACATGTCAGGAAATAAGGATGAAAAAAGTCTTCTGTCTCACAGGCGTTCCTTCTACCCTGGTAATCATTGCATTCAGGTAAGTCCTACAACCTTTCATGCCTCCTGCTTCCTGAAGATTTAAATATATTGTAGAGACAATAGCAGAACTGGAGAAAATAAGACTGTAGATTTTTAGGAGGAAGAAAATGCCTTCTCTGTGAACTTTAGCCTATGCAATCCAATTACACATTCAGTCTTCTAACATTTGAGTAGTGGGCACACCTAGAAGGTCCTATGCAAATTCTGTTACTGAAGGTATTAAGGGGTCTCCTCCAGGCTTCTGGATGACTAGTGCATCTATTCTAACTGAATCAAAGCATGGGAGCCTCAGAGTAATGGAGATGGACACTTAATTCAGGTAAGAGAAGTTCTCTCTGTCATGCCTCGTAAGGTTCACACAACAGGTCAGATGAGAAGCCACAACATACATACCTGAAAACCAAGAAGAGCCCAATGGATTTAGAAGGCTCTTTAGAAGGCATAAATCTTTGAGCACAAGCACAGAGCTGTGGCTTTGGTGATAAGTAAGATCCCAATAATCTGCCTTATTTTCTACAGAATGATCACCCTTTGACAGGGTGCCCACAAAGAGCATAGTTTGTTGCCAACACTCCTTGCTGTGCTTTGGCAGGAACAGCAGGTTGCACTCCGGAAACTGCACCCACAGCACAGGCAATAAGGACAAACACGGGTTTAAATAAAGCATGCATAGAGAATCCTGAATCAAGTGAAACAAGTTTTCAGTGTGAGGCTATCCATTTCTCAAACTATGATGCCACATTGTCATAACCACAGCTTACCTCTCCAGCAATGCTCTTCTCTCATCCTGATTATTCTGCACTGTTGCTTCCAAGACAGCAATGTCCCCACGTAAATCGTCCGTCTGTTTCTCCAGCTCGCTCACTCGCCTCTGACTGCTTTGCCACTCTTTCTTCATGGTAGCCAGGTTTTCATTCAAGGCTGTGACCTGCATGGTGAGCTTGGTCTCCTTTTCCTCATGTTTCCGTTTTTCTGCTTCTTTGTCTTTTTTCTCTGTGTGCTACAAAAACAGCAGAAAACTGAAAAACAAGATTCCAGGCATTCCTTCCCTATTCCCTACATTTAATTGAGACAAAAAAACTTATTGTAATAGAATCACTATTTTTATTCAACAAATTCTACTGACAAGGCTGTCATCTCACTGAATTTTCCTACACCATTATAAATGCCTTAAAGATTTTTGATCTTGTCATTTAAAAATTAATGTAATGTGAAACTAAAGTCAACCCATTGCTTCATTTCTGTCCCTGGAAGAATCCAAAGGCATGTTCACAAAACAACAGTCTTATATTCTCTAATATACTAACCAGTTTGGCTTCAATTTCAGCACATTCTTTCTTCAGTTCCTCTTCTCTCTTTTTCAGCTCATCTTTGACAGTTTGTTGGGTTTTTCTCTCCTGTTCCAGACTTGAATTCATACTATCTATTTTGCCCTGCAGTTCTAATTTCTGTTGAATCAATAGCTGGTTTGCGTCCTTGAGATTTGTCACCTCCTGTTAGGATACAGAGTTTAACGCTAAAGTAGCAATACAGAAAGTATAAATGGATATAAATTTAAAACTACTGCAAATCTTTCCTAGGAGAGCACAGTAATAATTTTTAGTTTTATCACCGGAAGAAATGACGATTTTATATAACAAGGTATCAGTGACTTTCATGATCAAAGATTTTAAACCTACATCTATATTAGGATCAAAATTCTTTTTTTAAAAATAATTTTAATGCAAGTTTCTACTAAAGCAGAGAGGAAGATCTGTTGAATTGTTTTCTGCAGTTCTTTGAAAAGACACATCCATTGTCATTTTCTAGGGACTGTTCTAAAATTTACTTCACATTATTCTCTGGTTGCAATAATGAGGTCAAAAACATCATAATGACAATGTAAAACCAAATGCTGATGGAAGAAAGTTGTTTCTGTTAATCCTACATATATAAAAAATTACTCTATGTTTCAAGCAAGCAGGATGACATGCTTGGTTTTCAATAATGGTTTTACTTGTTCCTCTGTAACTGAACACAAAAAATCCTGAAATAGAATAGTTAGTTAAATTTATAGAAATTATTTTCCTTAAAATTACACAGCCAAGCATGCAAGTACTAACAGACCAACAAGGGTGGACAGTTTTCCATAAATCAAAATTCGCAACACAAATTAAAACCAAACCAAAGCCACAGAAGAGAACATATCCCCAGAACAAGGGGATGCCCTACAGATACAGATACATCCTTTCCTTGGTAGGAGATGGGAATCAGAATATAAATCTTTAGGAGACAATTACTGTTTCAGTCTGATTGCTTGTAGGGAGATTAGGAAATTACTATTAAGCTGTCATTGGTGTGCACACATTTTATGTACATCTTTATAAAATTTCTTGTTTAGAATAGAGATTTTAGGAATGACAAGAACTAGAATACCTTTCCCCAAGCACAGATCACTTAAGAGAAACACAGTACAAACTATCTAAAAATAAGAGACCATTTTCTAAACAGTGGAGAACAAAAAAAATCTGAAACTCACAAGTTATTATGTTATTTTCTTTCTATTAATGCATAGGGAATATACCTACATTTATACTTGTGCAGCAGTTTAAGCTCTGTGTACTTAACAGATGCAAATATAACTACTAAGACTATATTATGAAAAATACAAACTACAGCCTTTTAGGAGTGTTCATTTCTATAGAGACTAAAAAATGGATATGTAGACTGTAGCAAGAAACAATTCATGTTACTGAAGACTAAAAATTTTTTAATTAAAGCCACTCAACTTTTAGCCTTTATAGAGCTCATTTGATTCTTGTGATTTTGGAAGTTTGTCTTTTGTGAGGCTCCTGACATGTTTTTTCCCCAACTGTGACTTTTTAAGACATTTTAAGAAACCATAGCACATTAGGGGAGTTTCAACTCTACCACACATCCTTGAGAAGTACCAGATGTGCCTAGAATATCTGGAAAACTTCACAGTTGTGACTCTTTTGGACATCTTTTGTTCATTTCAGAATAGTCAAGCCAGGGTATGCAGAGTGGATTTACAGTGAAACTGAAGAAAAGCCAGGACGTAAAACCCATCCCAAAGCTAAGACAAGTTATGTGCTCCACCTGGCCCATTGCACACCGCTGCTCAAGGATTATCTCTAATCAAGACGTCATTGCTGAGGAACCTCAATGAAATCTCTGCTTTGGTTCCCTTACCTGTAATACTGATATTTACAGCAACCACCTTTGCAAAGCCATTCCAGATAACATCTACTGAGTAGGCACATATTTCGCATCAGATAACCAAACACATGAAGAAGACTCAGTTTGTCTCAATGTACCTTCTGAAATTCTTGCTTGCAGGCTCTAAGCTCTTCACCCAGTTTGGCAATTTCTTTTTCAAGTCTAGTCCTTATTTCCTGGAGCTCTGTTGTTTTACATTTTTCATTAGCCAAGTCTTTTTCTTTCAATGTCTTTAAGAGAAATAAAAAATAGTAGAAGAGTTACTTCTTCCAAGTTCACAAAATAAAAAAAACCAACCAATCAAAAAACATCCAGGGCCCAAAACCTACTTGGTGGCTTTGTTATTATAAGGAAACAACTGCCACATATCTATCCACAGTTTGTAATGCAATTAGCAGCGTATTTGCAGTTTTAGATTTAGAACTAATAATATTTTCCCACCTGTCTGACTGCTTAGAACAAATTAGCAGCCTATTTTGAACCAATTTCACTACAACTGTCTCTTAAAAGTCTTTGACCAGAGGTTCAGTAAAACTGTCATTGCTATGCACTACAACAGTGTTATGCTCTCAAATTAAAGATGTAATAGAAAATAATAAAGGGTGTCTGCATGGGATGGATGTGTCTGTGTGAAGATTTCAAAACACAGAGGCATTTACCCTGTCATTCTGAAGATCCTGTAACATTTTGGTCTTCTCACCCAGCTGCTGCTCCTTCTTTGATGCATCCTGCTCTAGTGCAGACTTTGCTTTCTTCAGTTCCTGAATCTGCTGATTATTGCTAGCAATTCGATTTCTGCTGGAAACTAATTCTTCTTGAGCGAGAGCAAGTTTTTCTTCTGTGGACTAATTACAAAGAGAGTTCTGCAAATTATCTGTCAGTATAAGAGTTTCAGATACTAAACAGCCACTTAAACATTTTCCAGGTGGAAAAATTACTACTTAAGAGTGCAAGAATTAGCTTCAAATGTTGACAAAGCATGATTACAGAAACTTCTAGTTTACAAGTTTACCCTAAGTAAAAAGAAATTATCCCAGCATCATTTCCAGGAGCAATACCTTACTATACATATTCCAGCTTGTGCCCTTCCACAGAGAAAAGGTAAAAACATGCAGAAGGGCAGAGAACAAAAGGAGACTGATAAAAAGAGAGTGAACTTGAATTTGCTCATACAAATTTATCTTATTATCTAGGCAAATCAACTATTCTATAACTCTAGACAGCTGTTACTTAAGAAGCAGTGAAGCTACAGGGTGAAAATTTCAAAAGCAATTCACTACTATTTTTTACCAATGACTTAATGAAGTGTTAGGACAATTGTAAAATTTTTGAAAATCCTGAAATAAAATATACAAGGTAAAAATGCTAATGGCAGGAAAAAAGGCTTCATGGTTTCACCTCTACCGGCATTTTAAACATGAAATTTAAACTTCCATTCAAAATCTACAGATTATATCTTCATTTGCCTTCAACTTTCTCCACTACCTAGAAAAAGAACTCAGATTTATCTCTCTAAAACAGGTCACAAAATCCCAAGAAACAACCCAAAACTTGCAGCCAAAACCAAAGCTCATTCTATTTGTTCACAGCAAAGTCAAGCTTTGGGGTTCTTCTTGAGTTAGTATTATAGTATTTATTTTTTTAAACCTTCTATCTTAGGTAAGGACTAGCTCTACTAGAAAAACTAGTAGAGTTTTTCTTCCCATAGAACCAATGAAAAAAAAAAAACAAAACAACAGAAAAACTCATCCTCCACTCCTCCAAAATACTGGCATTTTGTGGAAATTTTTGATGCTAAGATACAGGATGTGAGCTGAAAAGATTTATTATTAGTAATAAGTTTATTGTTTTCAGTGCAGCAGTAAGGATTTAAATTCTTTCAAAACAAACACAATTCTTTTTGAAGCTCTTAAATCTTGTTCAAACCTTTTGTTGAAGGTTAGTGTTTTAAAAGGAACTATAAGCACAACTTTGAATTCATTCAGTTATGCATATGCTTTAGCTACTCCCACGTTGATTTAAAAACTAATTGATTTCTGATGCCTCATGACCCTCCCTTGTAATATCTAAAGTATTTTGCCTGTACAATCAGACTTAGTTTGAAACAGCAATGATGGAACACTGCTGATTCAACAGCATTTTCAACAACACCCCTGGCTCTTAAAAAGCTCACACTGGCTTTTAAAATTAATTTGCAGACAAATTATTTTCTTTCTGAGCTATTACAGTTCACTACTTAACATTTTGCAAGGTGTTGACTCATAATTTTTTGTAAGCAAAATATGAGGTGCTTTTGCAGTTTCAAGGTTTCGGAAGGATGGGTCTTTCAGAAAGCAAAATTACCTCTCTTTCCTCCACTGTGGGCAGTGGAATACCATATTTTCCTAATATTGAGAAAGCATGGGAAGTCTAGCATCATCATATAACATCTTCACAGGAAAACCCAACAGTTTCTGCAGTTTTAGAAAGAAACATAATAAAGCCACAGCTTTTATTCAAATTTTATTCAAATTTCCAGTAGAAGAAATGTGGTTACATTCAATTTGCTAGCACCAGATGATGAAATCGGATGAAGTGGGTAGTGACACTCAAACTAAAAGCCTCACACAGGGGGTATTTCTCTCTCAACCCACCCCTGCAAAGTGTCTACAGTGTACAGGTTATCTCATTATGTCTATACCTAGGCTGAGATAAGGAACAGGTACAGAACAAAAGAGGTCAATCAGTGCTTGTTTTTGTAAATAAATAAAAATGCTAGATTGACTGGTATAGAGTTTAAATAAATAAAAATATAAGGAAATATCACAGTCTGATTCATTATAACTTGGGCTGTAACAGTGCAAATTATAGTGGCAACATCAGAACTGGTTCTAGTGGGGTGGAAGGACCCAGAGTCCACCTATATGAAGTGTAGAAATCAGCATTTGAGTCTGCATGCTCCCTGATCCCAGTTCACAAGGACAGACATTAAATTATCCCCAGATGCTAACCTGATCTCTCTTCACTTCCTAAGAAGAAGAGTTTGACTGTATGCAACTAAGGCTCCTGACTTACAGACCTGAGGTTTGGCAGCATGAATCTTGTTCCAGAATGTTCACTAAATATATACTGACAGCAATGCCAGTACTGGAGACAAAGACACATTCTTTTGAGAACACGGAAGAAACCAGGTCTGACTACAAAAAGCACAAATGCCAAGACCCAAGGATACTTGGCAAAGCTCAGGAGATCAGATTCACAGAAAGTATCCTTGTACTGACTCAAAATCAAGGCAAAAATAACAGTTACCACATTTTAATTAACTTTTCTATATAAAAAATGCCTTTTTCATAAAAAATATTTTGTGTAACTATATACACATATATATTTGTATACATATGTGTATCTATATAAAAAATTTATTTAGTGATATTCTTTTTTAATTATATGTGTCTCTTTTTATCAAAAACTATATCTTTTACTAGCACTCAAATCCTACCCAATTTCTTTTTCCAGTCACAAAGATAAAAAATGTTGGTGTAGTTACTGTTAGAGACAGTACATTTTTAAACCAAAGTAAATCCGCAGCAAATAGTATCCATAAAACATACATACGTAATATGTATACCTACATTCCCACTACTGATTTTGTTACAACACTTCTGTTCCCTCTGAAGGACTTAGAGCTTCACAGTTTGCATCTGGCTAGAGCTAAGTAGCTCAGACGTTCTGTTATTGAACCAGAAGCTCGGGCTCAGCCGTGCTGATGGCACTCCAGAGAGCAGCTACCCGCTCTGCAGCTCTTTCTCATGCAAAGGTGTTACCTCCAAGTGCAAAACTTCCCCAAAGCATTTGCTCCCTTTTCAATCTCCCAGCCGGAGATGATCCATCGATCCCAGCAGTGACATTCCCAACAGATGCCAGCAGATGGTGCTCTGTGTACAGCTCAATTCCTGCCATGCCCTCCTAGGAACCAGGAACCAGACCACTCTACTCCTGTCACACACATGCTTTACATCTTTTCATAATCCATACTCACGCCTGGAACCTTGGCCTCGCCAACAGCATGGTGCTATGCCACGTGAGAATATTTAAGTTTTCCCTTTTATTATTTTTAACTAAAGAAAACGTAACATTGCTAGGATCTCATGATATGGCCTGGCCGTGTCTGTTCTGGACAATGCTGGGCTTCAGACTGTACTGACTCAATACAGCTGTGCAGGGAGTCTGTAGATCTGCTAAAAATCCTGCACTGAAAGACTCCCAAGTTGACTCTACATAGAGACGAGTTTTAAAAACTTCTACTACTGCCCACTAAGAAGATTAAAACCAATCTAAACCCAGCCCACCCATCAGCTTTGATTCCAAACTTTAATCAAAATACACAGTTCTGGCTCAAATGAGCTACTTTTATGAAGTAACCTGACGAAGGCAAAACATCATGCAGACAACTCGTTTTGAATAGTACTATGAAATTCTACCATAAAGTTCTTCTGACTTAAGTAGCATTTTGATATTCAGCCATGAAGACTAACACCGTCACACTGAGGCTGCCTGAATGTGCTTTTTCCTTTGTGGTCCTCTAAGACAAGTTATCACTGCTTCTTTAGCTTAATATTGCAGTGAGGCAGCACAGCCATGACTAAAGATCAATTCCCCACCTTTTCCTTCTTCTGTATTTTCCAGAAAAAAAAGTGGTGTCAATCAGACATCACTAATCCTCATTAACATATGGCTTTTAAAACACTTTTAAAATCAAGCAAACAGCCTCCAAGTTGGTACAGCACTTCAGTACTTAGGACCCAAATCTCTAGGCTCCACAAAGACTTACATAATAAATCAAGTTACCTGACTGCTCATCTTAAACATAATTTCCCCATTGCCATCACCTTATTTTACCTTTTTGCAAAGATGTTCTCTCTCTTTCTTGCTACCATCCCCATGAGGTTTAAAAGCATGTGGGGTGCTTACTGTCCTATCTTATACTTGCCAGAATTAGAGGTTATCAAGCTGCTATAATAATACTTATTCAGAGATATTTTTGCATCTCTATTTTGCAATATTTTAATGAAAACTACACAAAAAAAAAAAACAAAAAAACAAGCAAAAAAACCACCAAAAAACCCCTAGTTACTGAGCACATCCAATGCTTCTACAGGTCACTGCATTACCAAATGCTGATTTAAATGCATTGTAGGAAATAAACTCACAGACATACATATGCTATAGTAACAAAGCAAAAGGAAGAGTATGTTTAAACCATCATTGCTTGTTAATCATGCTAAAGTTCTTCACAATTTAACCTCACAATTGAACTATGCTGCTCTGAAAATAAAGCTTCTATAACCTGCAGGGAAATGCGGCAGGTAATATAATACTACAGTAAGATTATTAGACTTACTACAGTAAGTCTAAGAAAACTGCAATGACCTATATGTAAAGGAGCTATTTCTCTTTTTCTTAAAATAACCCAAGGCTGGAGTTTGGCTAGGGCTCCACAGCTCACATGGGCGAAACAGCCACAAGACCTTAAAGGGTTTCAGTGGTGGGGCTGAAAGGCTCACCTTTGGGGGAAAGGGAACGATAAAATCAAAGCAGGCAACAATGAAATCTAAGCGGTCACCACAAGCTCCCTTTATACATAACAAAGCAAACAGAAGCTGATATCTAAAGCAGATCAGATGATCTGTTGTCCCAAAGCATCTATTTCTCTCCATAAACTTCAGAAGAGCCTAGAACAACAGTGTTGTTCATGGACAAAGCTGCAGTGGGATTCATCTGGAGCGAAAAGTGCCAAAGCTACGAATCTTGCCAGCAGACAGCCAGTCTCTGCAGCACAGTATGTCCTGGGACTAACTGGAGCTTAATACCGACATGAAGGAGAGGGCCAGAAAAAAAAGCCAAAAAACACCTTTGCTGACTGGCTCAACTCTCAGCAATACCTCTTTGAAGGCTCTGCACACTAATACAAAATGGGGTAACTTCAGTTTAGCAATAGTAAAAACTTCAAGGACTTAGTTCAGACACTTGTATTTCAGGCAGGTCTCTAAACCTATTGTTTGTATCAGTTTGACATCTCTCAACATCTATAATCAGCCAGGAATATTCTAGTTAAATCATCTAGAAGATAGCAGTTGCTCACATGCTGGCAGACCTTGCTGTAATTAGATACACTGTTTAAATTAGTTGAAAGCAACAATATATAGCAAGAAAAATAACATAAAAAAATAATTCTTAAAGGTATATAAAACTAAATCACCTTGCACAAATGCAAGGATATTTCAGGTATACTAGCAAATACGCTTGGCTTTCAATTAGTTTCAGGATATCCTCTGTCCCAGGGGAAGGGAATGAACAGCACTAAAATCTATATATAGCAGAAGAGATTTTTTTTCACCTATTCAGTTCCTGCATTGTTCCTTGGTCTTCAAAATGGATATAAACATCTACTAAGTCACATATGACATTAAAATGACTGCAGGTACCTTAAGATCTTGCCTGGTAGCCAACAGCTCAGACTCTTTCCCATAAAGATCCAGTTGTAGCTTCTCCATGTTTTCTTTGTGTTTATCGTGGGCCTTCTGTAAGTCTGCTAGCTTGCCTTTCTCTGCTTTAAGCTCCTGTGCTGACAAAATAGACTGCTGTTGTAGTTTATTCTCCAGTTCTGCCTGAAACATAAGCATAGGAAGTTTTAGTTAAAGTTACAGACAGTAAAGTCAGCTTACACGTTTCAATAAACTGCATTTCTACTGCAAGATGAGAATCTTTTTCCTGTTATGAAATAGCAGTTCGGTAATCTGATATTTGTGATTTTACAGTAATATCTCCTAACTAATTAAACAACAAAATTTAATTTGTTGTAAAAGACTAAGTGAAACACATTAAGATCTAACATTAAAAATTAATAATGCTCCAAGTGTGCTGGTTTTGGCTGAGGTAGAGTTAAGTTTCTTCACAGCAGCTAGTATGACACTGTGCTTTGGATTTGTGTTGGTGTTGATAACACAGGGATGTTTTAGCTATTCCTAAGCAGCGCTCACAGAGAGCCAAGGCCTTTTCTGCTTCTCACACCACCCCTCCAGCAAGGAGTCTGGAGGTGCACAAGGATTTGGGAGGGGGCACAGCAGGACAGCTGATCCCACTGACCAAAGGGATATTCCATACCATATGGCATCACAGTCAGCATATGAAGCTGGTGAAAGAAGAAGGAAGGGGAGGGACATTTGGAGAGATGGCATTTGTTTTCCCGAGTCACCGAGCAGCTCTGTGGTGCTTAGTTGATGGCTGGGGTCAAACCACAACACCAAGACCTAATGTTTCCACAGGCTGCCTAAAGCACAAATATGACCATGTAGCATAGGACAGCCAAAGCTGGAGACACATTTAACAGTGCATGGCATAGAGCACAATGTTCCATAATGTCGTAAGACATTTGAACTCTTTCCATTGTGGTTCATGAGTTTCATACTGTCACCAAGATAAATTCTTTTTGTATAATAGGAGAAAACTTGGTTTAAACTGCCACGGACATTTTAAAACACTGCAGAGTTTGTCTAAAATACTCTCACAAAATTCTACTGCTTTACAAGAAAATGGCAGTTCTCACCTCACAGCCTGCTCCCAGAGCAAAAAAATCACACTCAATCTAGCTAATTTTATCACTTTATTGAAATTCAATTCTTATGGAATTCATATTTCAGCACTGTTTCTTTTTACTACTGCTGTTGATGTTGCTGTTTCTATCTGCAACAGTATCTGAAGACCTCATTTCCACATCCTTACCTTAGCATTTCCAACAAGACTACAGCAAACACAGTTTATCAGAAAGATATTGACATAAAAACTTCAGTATTTATCAGAGAAATTTACAATCACTTTCTTATAGGAGTAAGAGAGGATAGTCTTACCTTTTCTAAAAGGGCAGTTTTTAATTCAGCTTGCAGTGTCTCACTATGTTTTTTCTTCTGCTCAAAAGATTCCTTTAACTCTCTCAGCTTTCCCTGGAGATGTTGCTCACTTTTTTCTTTGTCCTTCAGAAGACCTTGGATTTCCAGTAGTTGTGCTCGTGCTGAATCAAGGTCTATTGACAACTGCTTAGAAATCTATAATCAAAAAATATTAAATAACTGTATATATTTTTTATTTAAATGACTATTTGTACATGCTGTACACTGAAACAGACCATCCCACAGTGTCACTGCTCCTTAAGAGGTACACAGTTGAACACTGGCAAGAAGATTTTAAGAACATAACACATTAAAATAATCTGTTATTCCCTATTTATTACTCATAGATCAACAGCACTTTTTTAACCATTCTAAATTAAGATGAGGCAACTTTTCTCACACCAGCAGTGCTTTGGGTTCTCCTGCTGCCAACTGTGCAGCATATACCAATGTCACCCTCCTGCACTTTACACAGAGCACCATGGTGCTTCTGTTGAACCAGAGATGAGCCAGGGGAATAGAAGCAGTAGTCATAGAGCAATTACCATCACACCAGCACACACCTAAACCCTTTTTCAGACAGTAAGAGTCCATCACAGTCCACCAAACTATGTCCACTGATCATCTCTTTTCTTATTCCTTTAGGGAACAGATGACAGCTTGGGTAAAGATATCCATGAAAGCAGACTTGTCCTTCAGGCTGCCAGCTGGACTACATGATTTTGCAGTCTGAATGCTCATCTTCAAAAAAGAAGTACATTTGGTTCTTATGTAGTCACGAGCAAGTGACTTACACAAGTTTGAAAAAGTGATTCAATTCTTGAAGGATACCTAAAAATGTCCTGTCAACCACACAGAGAACATACTGAATAAGCCTGAGAATAAAACAGATCTAAGGATATGAGATAAAAACTTTTATTGTATGGGAATAAAAACAAAAAATGGTAACACGGTAATATCAAGTAGCTGTTTCACTAATGAAAAAACATAAAGAGCCAAAATCCCTCGCTAAGGTATGTGGGGCACAGAAAACTAAGATTAAAACCTGTATTTTAAAGCTTTATATTACCATCTATGAAATTTTTACTATCACCTTATTTCAACACCCCAGGTAGGTTACAATCTGAGAACTGAAGCCTCTTTAGTTCTCATCAGTCCCAACTGAAAATGCATCTTTTAAACATTTATTATACTGGTTTGTAGATTTTTGAAACTAAGTGGACAGCTTACCCCCTCCTTTTTTTCCAGTGAGTTTTTCAATTCATTCCTCTCTTTAGCTACAGACTCTGTTTGTATCTGGAGCTGGTGTTTTAATTCTTGGCAAGATTTTTCCTAAAAAACATAAGACAAGGAAATATTCCTGTTAGCTTCTAAGACCAAGTACCAAGTATTTTTGCAGGATATACAAAGCCTTGAAAAATAATGCTTTAATTTTCAGTGGAAAATCCTTCTCAGTTGCAGACATACTTTCAATTCAAAACTTCTCAAAACCTTAAGTGGCAAATCTAAGCTGAACACAGCTGATCCCCTATACTAACAAAACCAGCCATGTGCCGAAGAGTTTTTCTGATTAGAGATAGTCTCCCTGTTTGAAGCTGTGGTTGGCAGCCCTTCTCCTTCTTATGGAAAGCAGTAGGTTCATTACTCTCCTAAGGATCCAAAATTCCTTCATGTTCTAAAACTCACAAGAAAGTACATTTGCAGGACCTGCATGCAAATACAACTACATGTTAAGCCTGAATACTACACATAAAAAACAGTGGCAAGCCTTTAAGGGACTACAGAATATGAAGCAGAATCTGGACTCCTAACTTCAAGTCTCAAGTGGGGAGAAAATCCTTTGAGTTTTTAGGAGAAACAAATATTTAAACAGTAGCAACTAAGAAAAGCAAATAAAGGAACTTATCTTTAAAAGGTGAATGAGTAACAGAAAAAATTTTATTTTTAACTAGGAGCAGATCTTTTTTTAGACAAGAATAAAAGCAGCTCTGAACGGGTTCTGGGGAATGGTGACATTTAAAATGAGAAGGGTATGAGAAAGATACCCCTACCGTTTCTGAGGCAAGGGTGTTGGAACAACTGCATCTATAAAACATGTATTCATGTAGTGCCCATCCATATTACCAACAAGGCAAAAGAGGTATATTTTAAAGCTAGTGAGAGTTCACTTTCTTTATCATAATAGGTTGCCCTAGTGCTCAAGCACTTGTTGTACCACCACTTGTGAGATCTTTCTGAAACTCAAATAGTTCTAGTACTCTGAAAATACCTTAATCTAGGCATTCAGATGATGTTACTCTCTCTCTGTCTGCAGTATGCAGCTTTCCAGCATGTCCAGACAAGTGCACAGGAAGTTCTATATACAAAGCCTTCAAAAAGGAGACTCAGATGGCCTCAGAAAAATAACATCATCTTCAATACAATGGTATTTTAGCAAAGGTTCTGTAACTTTGTGTTGTTATAATACAGTTGATATATTTTTTTAAAGGAGGACATTTCCTGTCAAATCGTTTCACCACTTGCCTCCATTTAGTTTCTTCACTATGTTAAAGGCATGTAGTAGGAAGAAAGGATCCTGTCATGTGCTATGGCTGATGTTTACTACAGTAAACATCCAGGCAAAAATGTAAGGTAGGAAATGCATATGAACTACCAAAAATCACAATTTTTTTTTCTTACAGTAGTTAATTTCCATGTATTGTCATCATATCTACACTGCTTTCAAAATCACTTTATCAGACTGTAAATACACCAAACTTAATGTCTAATTAAGAATCTACTAACCATTTCTGCCATAGCTACTTTTCCTTTTTTAATTTCTTTTTCTAAATCCTCCTTTCTTTTTTTGAAGGATTCAGAACTTTTGGAGAGCTTATCTTTGGTATCTGTAAGATCCTTTAACAGAGTATCCTTCTCTAATTTCACTTGTTGCAGCTCTGATGTGGCCGCTTGCAGTTTACAGTCTAACTCCTTAAGCTGTTTACTTGTATCTTGATTTGATTTCTCAAGGTGTTGTTTCAGACTGGCCTTCTCCTCCTCCTGCTTTGAAATTTGCTGGTTTGCTTGGTCAAGGGCCTCAGATTGCTTCTGCAAATCCAATTTAGCATTAGACATCCTGTAAATAGAAAGAGAAAAAACATATTTTTAACATTTCTTCTTCACCTTTTTTTTATCATTAAATATCTCTATTACTTAATATATAAACTGTACAACTACTTCAAAGCATATCTTTTTCATCCATGGGCATTATGTCTCTCCAGTGAAGACATGACAGTAACTCCAAAAACTAGCTTTCAGATGTATCTTTCTTCCTCAACTATAACAAACAGAAACTACCCCTTTGCTCCTTATGCAGAAATTGTAACTTTCTACTTGAAAAATGTTATAGAGCTATGGATATTTAAAGATGGACCTCACTACATGAAAAGGTTCAAATATTTAGCTGACAACAAGCACGGTGAATAAACTGAAGAACTGTAGTGAATCACAGAGGTAATAGGGCAGATGGAGTGAATAAAACAGGTGGGGTAAAACTCAGTTCTTGTAACAGAACAGCACTTATCTATGACTTTATGAAATCACAGGAGAGAAGCAGAAAATTTCCACTTTAGTCCAAACCACTCCAGCTTTATGTCTGACTTTGAAAAGGACTAGAACAAGGAAATGCATACGCTTCTCTTGCTGATTCAAGTTGTTTACTCAGTTCTGCTGTTCGGAGGTCTAATTCTGTAGATTGCTGTCGCTGTTGCTGTAACTCCTGAAGAGCTTGTTCTTTACTTGCTTTAGCATCAAGAATGTCAACTTCAAGTTTCTGAGAAAAAAAAAAATCAAAAGTTAGTCATCAGAGCACAACCAACAAAATAAGAATAGCAATTAAATGCGGAAGTCATCTATTCTATGAGCAGCATTTACTGTAGAAAGCAGTCACAATTCTCACATATCATCTACCTGTTTCATCACTTTGCTATTTAACTTTCATTATTTAGTTCTTGCAAATCTCTTGCTCCTCCAGAACTGTTTTGGTAAAACACTCCGAAATCATGTTTAAATTAAAGGTCAAACAAGCATTTTACTGCAAAGTAATAGATAAAAAGCTGTAATCTTTAAGGAGGCTATCCAAAACACCTATACAAAAAAAAGGTCATACCCAGTGCTCAGCTTTGGGGCCATGTTCTCAGCCACTACTGAGTAGTTTCAGCAGTTTCAAATGACTGTTGATTTACATATCATAACTCTGCTGTTCTTCATAGAAAAAGCAAAGACACAAACTACAGCTGTGAAGAAACCCTATGCTCACCTAGAAGAGGTTTTTCTTGTGTTTTTTTTCCCAAAAGTTCTTGTTCACTTATGTGGAGTATAAAGAACAGAGGAGCCTTCAGCAAATGGGCACTGCTTAGACTCTTCAACACACTGGCTGTTTTACAGGGACTTCTGCTTGAACACAGTGGCCATAAAACAAAATGGTCAGGTTTCTCCAAGAAAATTCCTGAGGGCTTTTTGCTTTCTATTTTTTCCTATTTTTTTAAATGCCACACATTCAACTGGAATAATCTCAAAGAATGGTGATGATGCCAAGAATTTACATAGAATGCATTCCTGTTGACAGCATCAACAACCCTGCTCAGTTTCACACTTCAGCTACCAGAAACCTACTAAAATCATATGCAAGCAAGCTCTGTATTCCTCCCAAGCACTTGTGTCTCTTGGCTACTTGTGAAACTTTAGCAAAAGAATGAAAAATAAAAACACAAATGAAAGTAGGCAGAAAAAACCCCCAGTGTTCAAAAGGAGAAATAGATGCACAAAATAATTTTGCTGATAATGAAATGCATGACAGCTTTATTTTTTAATAGCATTGGATCTGAAATTTCCTATGGGGAAAACAATCTTCCTTCTCTTCTACAGAGCTCATAAGCTGGGAAAAACACCAGTCTTGAGCATAAAGACTACTAATCTCCCTCAGAACAGACAGACAACACTGAAAAACCAATTCTGCATTGCTCCCAAGCCCCCTGTATCATACGCTTTTATGCGTTGTGAATTTTGACTACCAAGAATTTTTAACAAATATTGAAAAAAGGTCAAAGCCCAAATTTTAAAGCTCTCAAGCATTAGGACTAATCCACATCCTTAGCTGAAAATACTAGAATATCAAAACACCAAACGGTTCCGCAAAAGAAAAACTGATTTCAGAGTTAGAGTACAAAACTCCAGATCAAGTTAGAGATAAAATAGTGATAAATAAATCTTGCTAAAGAGCCTCTGTAGAAGACTAATGAAAGGCTTTAGAAATAAATTAAACCAGATAGGTGGTGTTAAGTTGGGCTAACCAGTGTGACACATATTCACTGCTACCACTTGTGAAGTGTGTTAGTTTGAACTTGAAGACTCTAATTCTGGAACATATTCATGTTCCCTCACATAAAAATTTCCAGGTAGCACAGAGGTTGATAGAAGTACATATAGAAGGAAATGACAGTATAGTGGCAATGTCCTAGGCCTATCTTCTTAGTGTGATATGCTAGCATGGAAGAAGAGGAGAACAGGATTAAATGGTGAATCAGGAAACATTAGTGAGAAAGAAAACCTAAAATTTTGATATAATATTGATATAATCCTTCCCCATAATTTGAGCACAGTTTTTGTCACATGCTACCAAACAGCAGAGATCAGTTTCTCTAAGCTCAGATACTGTGTTCAATACAAACCTTAAGCTGTCCCTCTAGCTCTTCAGTTTTCTGTTCTAAATAAAGGCATTTTTCTTTGTACTCTTTAAGACTGGCTTCCAGCTGAGTACAGTATTCCTGCTTGTCATTCAGCTTAGCTGTAACCTGATCCAACTGAACGCTGACCTTATTTAACTCCTGAGTAAAATAAAAATACAAGGGTTGTAAGTTTTGAAATAACTTCAGAAAATTACTAATATCATATATGCTTTAAATGATCTAGTGTGTTCAAATTAAAAAGGAAAATAATCTTTTTTTATTCTGAGGGGCAGGAAACAAACACATGCACAAATTCCCTTCGTTACACTGAAAAAAATTCTTTTAAAGCTTCAATATTCCTCTCAAACTTTACAGGTTGTGGGCTAAATGTTAAGAAAGGTGTTTCAAATTGTAAATGGAAGAGGAACTATAGGTAATAAAGGCACTAGATCCTAAAATTAGTACAACAGTAACTAGAAAATAACATTACAAAACCTTAGATAAAATTTTTGCTGTCTTTGTTTGTCATGAATTCAAGCACCACGGAAGAGGAAAGCCAATAACATGGAAATGGTCAGTTCTCCACATACCAGAGATGATTTCAAAACATTTTGTTCAACACAAAACAAATAATTTCTGCAAGAGACACGGATACATTCACCTAGTAACCACTATGATGACAGCTACATGCTCTCCAACCAAGTGAAGTATTAGTTATTAATTAATTATTTAATGGCTGCAAAAGGTTGTTTTCTGTTTATAGCAATTAATTACATTGCCATGCTAAAAAATGATGCTATATTAGCATCCACTGGATAGGGAGATCAAAGCAACACTGATTGTAATAATGCAAATATTTGATTCAACAGCTGGTGGAATACTTCACTAGGATTACCACACATTAAAACACGTAATTTTAACAACAACCTTTTGAGCTTTTGTGTCTGTTGGCAGACAGATAATTATTTCTGAATACCTGCATCTGATTGGGAATTTATCTGAGTCAGCAGTAAGAGTTAAGAGTTTTCAGTTGTATTCAGTGCATTCTACAACCTTCATATCATACACATGAGAATTGAGTAATACCTCAGTAATACCTAAGGACAGCTTAAGTTCTGAACCCTAATCCTATATCAAGGAGTGGACTCCCGAGTAAATTCTTTGCACTGCAAAATATATCTGGTCTGGATTACAGCAAAAAGAACTGAATGTATAGCATGTGATTAAAATATCCTAAATGATCATTTCCAAATGCATATTCACATGTCCAAATGCATATTCATATGTTTATTTAGTTTGTAAACAGACTATTCTTAAGTTTTTAAGCAGTTTTTTAGGTAACATAGAAACTTTATATGTTGCTTATAACCTGTTGCTTATCTTGCAGTGCATGCTGAGCTGTGTCCAGGTGGTTCTGGAGATCCGCTCTTTGAGCAGCTTTTGATGCTTCTGCCGAAAGTAGCAATTCAGTCTTTGCTTTTACCTGAAAGACAAATTGTATTTCACTAAAACACCTTTTTTACCATAGCTCATTGTAATTTTTTTACAGTCATCAGTAAGTTTAATAATAAAATCAGCAGTTTTCATGTGTTAAGTGTTAAAAAAAAGGAAGAAAGATTTTAGAAATTTCGATAAGTATCAGGATTTAAAGTCACAGTGAGTTCTTACTTTGAGCCAAAAAAAAACAAAGAAAAAAAAGAACAAAACAAAACACAGCAGTTCCACTTATGTACAATTGTAAGAAAATATTTTTACCACTAACAAGGAACAATGTGATTTACGTACTGTATTCACACCCATGCATACCTTGATAACCTCCAACTACATGCACATTTAAGGCCCCCCAGAAGTTTTAAAAGGAAAAAGAATAAATAACAACGAAAATGTGCTTCCATGTGCATAGTATCTTTTTCTGTTCCTGCCTGCCTGTTAGGGAGCAACCATTCTCTTTTCAAAACATCAGCAAGCAAAATTTAGAAGGCGGGTATCAATGGTGTTGGTGCAGTGTGGCAACATTCAGGGTCACCTGCAATTGTGGTTTACTGGTTTTCTCCCTAATATAAATGCTACATCTCTGAAGACTGTAAGAAAGCTCACATTGCCTTAAAAAGAGTTGCAATGGTCCACAGATAATTCAGTTCTAGCTCTAATGTGAATGTAATGAAAAAACTATTCAGATAGTGTACTGAAGCCCATCAAAACATCACAAAGCTTCATCAGAAGTTTCTAGGTCTGTTCAGAAACTGAGTAATACTGTAGTGTATCAATCCAATAACAACAGTAGCTGCTCCAGGTGTACTGATGCAAGAACTTCTGATCAAATCTTATTTATCCTTTAAATAGCTGTACATAATTAGCAGCTTGCAGCTTAAACAGCACTTAGTAGTAGAAGAGTCGATGTTGAGTCCATAACAGGGAGTTTCCTTATTTAGTAAATTAAACTGGCAACAAGGTGGCCCACAATTTTTGTTTTGTTTTTGACAAAAGACATCAGCATAGGAAATTTTAGGCAACGCCAAGATCTCAGTGACTTGACAGATTTTTCACTTTGGTGCACAGAATCCAGGACTGGTAAGAGCAGGGTTTTGAACAGCCAAACATTACAAATACGACTGATGCTTGAGGAAAGATTTTTCAACTCAATTATGAAATTTTATGATTCCACTTTCGTTTTCCTTCAGTTTTATCTACCTTATTCTACTTCATTTATATCTTAGTAGAAAAATGCAATTTTTCCCAAATGGCTTTGTACATTCTCTGGAGAGAATACAGATATCACAACCAGGATTTTACATCACCAGAAAATAGAGAGTTCCATTACCTGCACATCAAGTTGTGACACTTTCTCTCTACTTTCATTTAGCTGACTGGTTAGTTCACTGATGTTTGTTTCCAGGGAAAGCACACGATCTTGAGCAGCTCTTAAGTGTGCCTTTTGTTCCTGCACTTGTTCATGCAAATTCTCTTGGGCTTGTTTATGACTTTCTGATTGATTCTTCAGCTTCTCTGTCATCTGAGTTACCTGCAGTGAAAAAAAATGTGAGAAGGTTGGAACAGTATGTCCAAAGAAGTAAAAAATTAATTTTAGTGTGTCTTATTATGGCTCTGGAGACTCAATGCTATCACATTTCTTTTCCTGAACTATTACAGTAAAGCTATATTAGAGTTTAAATAGGTTACCAGCTGAAAATAGAAGCAAAAGGGAATTGTCAATTTGGCCTTACTGCAACAAAAACAAGATACTAAGGAGACAACAGATGCAGGCTAAACTGAATTTTGGTGTTGAACGCAGGAATTAAACCTCTTTTTAAAATAAGTGAAACAAACGTATATGTGTGTATATATATCCAACAACTTTTCTATATGCATAGCATATTACTAGCATATGTACACAGTAAACATCTAGGAATTCCTTTCCCTATGTTGATAGCAAGGAAGTCACCAAAACACAAGTCCTGTGAAATTTACAGTAAGATCTTTAAAGTAAGTATTAAAGAAACAGAACAGTATAGAAAATATTAGTGTCATATCTGATGACATAGGAAAAAAAAGGAAACAAGACTCAATAATGAGAATGAAAGAAAAGAAACAGATCTTGAAGTTCTTACCTGTATTTGCAAAGCATGGTTTTTCTCTTGTAGCTGGTTAAGAACTGCAGTTTCTCCTTCACCAGCTTGAATTTTTGCATATAAGTCCTCTCTTTCCTTTTCTAGCAGAGAGATGTTTTCCTTGCTTTTTTGAAGCAAAGCCTCAAGATTTTGAATTTTTTGGTCCTTATCTCCAATTTGTCGTAGTACTTGCTCCAGATCATTCTAGAAAATCACGTAATAACCTCCTTAATTATAAGGCTCTTAAAAGTTAGTTCCAATGCATAAAATGTTGGTTAAATTTATTAAACACTTTCTGTATGTTTTGTTCTAAATTTATAAGTTAAATTATTGAAACTAGCATAATTCATGCAAATCACTTTTACAGAGAAAAAGTATTTAGAATAATGAAATCCTGAAATAGACTTTCACATGAGGATACATAATTATGTTACCTGGGCTTCTCGTAGTTTTGCTGTTGTATTTTGCTGAAGCGTCTGCTGTTCCTGGTGCTGTTGTTTTGCCTTATCTAATTGATGTTGCAATTCTGTGGAATTTGCTGCTTTTTCCTTTAGCTGAAAAAAAACCAAAACCAAATACCAAACAAACCAGATTAATGAGTGGAAAAACCACCATTCAGTATGCCAGTATTACTCAATGTTCATTCTAATTCTAGAAGATTTTAGTGTAAACATGGATATTTGAAAATTTGTATAAAAATAATCTGTAATGCTAGTTAAACAACCGAGATCTAATCAAAGCACTCATTACTATTAATAGGTGAGATTCTGTATCACAAGCGAGAACTATAAAATTATCGGATGTAATTTAGCTCCCATAAAATCTAAAACATAAGAAATTTTTAGTATGTTTTTTCCAATAGTTGTTAAGATGTAACATGACTGATAATACAGATACCTGTAAAACAACATTATTATTACTATTATTGACAGTTTTAGTAGCAACTTCAGTTTAGCAGTCTCTCCACTTCTACACTAGTCAAGGCTTTGTAAATTAGCAACAAAAAAACTTTAAAGCTTTGAAAACATACCATTCAGATATTTGACCAATCCCCATACAGCCGGCAGAAAATCAGCAACATATACAAGATACTCATTAAAACAAATAAAAATTAATAAAACAAGTATTTTCTGCCCATCCATTCCACACAGATTATTAACTATCAATGACCTCCAGTGCCATGTTCAGTTTTTTTCATGTAGGGCTTTATCACACAAAAATATGTACACACAGTGCTACCCATAGGGACTTAGGTGCACCTAAGTATTTTTTTCACAACATCCGTAGACAAAGCTCAGGAGTGCAAAGTGCACAACTTTTGTTCTTTTGTTAAGCACCATGAACACAAATGCATCTGATGAGCATTTAGCCTTACAAAAATCTGTAAAGACAAGCAGCATTTAAACATATTTTGATAATTTTACCACAAGACTTTGACAGATTTAGTCAAATGAAATTCCCACAAGGACAAACTTTATAAACTGCAACATCACCACAACTGTGTGTACAGACATACTACCCAAACCAGAACAAACTATAGAATCTGCATAAAAATCCCTACCTGTTCTTCAGCACGAGAAAGTTTTAATTGTAGATCAGCCACCTGCTGCTCTTTGTCCATCAGTTTCTCACTGGACAGCTGCCTCTGCTCCTTGAGCCGCCCATGTGCTTCCCCTAACTGGCGCTCTGTTTCCAGAAGTTTACTGTGCAACTGCAAAATAGAGTCATCCACTTTTCCAATCATTCTTTAGACAACACTGATGTATTTTAGACTCATTTTGAGCAATTTTTACCAAAGTTTTCATAACCCAGAGTAAAACAAGAGCTCCTGAAGTCATGGATGAATTTCATACACCTCAGATACACAAATCATGTTAAGAAACAGCATCAGCTGCACAAGCATAAACAAATACTAAGTGGGTTGGAAGGACCCATTTATCTACAGAAGCCCTTCAAAAGGAGTTACAGAGATTTAACAGAAACACAAAGAGGGCCATCCTTCAAAGGCATAAGGACTATCATGTAAAATAGTGATGCTTAGAGCCATCTCAGCTTATCCAGCTCACACACTCACTCTTGTAGATTCAGTGGCTGAAGCACCATGCCTTTACTTGCTCCACTGCCTTCCACAATATACTGCTCTGCTAGAACAGTAGTTCTAGCAGAACAGAGTGTAATTTTTAGCTTGATCTGGCTACATCAGTGGCATTCATTCTCTGCAGAGAAGATATACACAAACCCTCAATGTAGGGTATATAGTAAGTGATGGCTTATAGTACAGTAAATTCCAGCAGCAAAAAATAGAGGGATGTGCTTTTCGAGCTACACATAAACCTGTCTTGTGATTTTTTCAGTCATCAAAAAGCAGTACTGCACCATCTTCAAAGTGCAAGGATGGCCTTTTACAATTCACTGTTCTAAAAAGCTCTCTTCATAAAATCAGCTTATTCTACTTGAAACTGCCACTACAGGTCCTCAGTTACCTCCTGCCTATTTCTACACGAACACATTCATGGACACACAAAAGACCTTTTAACTCAATGCAAAACCAGAGAATGGATCAGACCTTGCAGCACAGCAAGAATTTTCCACAGGTATCAGTATGAACGAAGCTTGCTTCCCCTATGAATTTAGGTCTAAGCCCCTCAAACCATTCACCTTCTCCAGGTCCTCCCTTCAATATCCCTACACCTTCCTCATGCTTTCCTCAAATCCCTAGTAATATCGAAGCAAAAGGCAGCCCAATTTTACTGATCACTGCAAGCAACCACTTTCTGACCAGCTGACTGCCTAAAAGAGCAGAAAAAGGAACAGTGGTTGTAGTACCATTGTATCTTCCACCCATGCATTAAGGGGGGTGAGGCATGAACATAAGCCTCTCTCCTGCTGCCTGTTTTCACAAGAATTTAACACTGAAGGACCTAATGCTGAAGTCCTTTGGGTCATCTGTTAAAATTTGGCTCAAGTTATCAATTAATGCAAAAGTGAAAGGGTGTGGAGACAGGGAAATAAATGTGTCCATGACTTATTTTCTCAGAAAATTAAGCTAAATTATTTATCTGCCCACAACCACAAAAATTGTGAGTGAAAAGCTGTTTGACATGTGGGCAAGATGCTGATTGTTAACTATGACTGCACAGTAAAGAAAGATGTAGGAGAAGAAGGAGGACAGGGTAAGAAAAGGGACCATAATCTCTCCTCCAGTAATCAAGAACATTTGTCTTTTTTTGCAGGAATCACTAAATTATAAATACTTCCTCCTCACTAAAAATACAAACAAGAGCTGGAGATAAAAAAAAATCTATTGAAGAAAGAGTGCAATACAATAACTATTGTAACTATTCATGGCTACGTTAATACCAGGAGAAAATACTTGGAAAGGGGGAAATCAGCAAACAATATTTTACAAAGTTACTTTTATTATAGGTACGGTTAAGTATTTTTGAAGAACTTAAGATTTAGTAAACAGAATCATAAAATCCAGGATTAACCTATGCTACAGAATGCAAAAAATCATGAACAAAATACTTAGACTTTAAAAGATAAAATCAATTAGATTCAAATTTTCTCAACAACAGTATTTAATAACAATTAGCATTTCTTCAAGACTGAAGGAGTCCATACTTTCTTGTGTTACCCTCTTCCTATTGTTGTGCTGGAATCAACACTATCACTGAAGTTTCCTTCCATTGTGAAGATCACATCCTCCATGTCACTCAGATTCTAAAATATACAAACTAAACCAGACATGCACCTGTGCAAACAAATTTTGAGAAGACGACAAGGATTCTCTGAAAATGTGGTTTGACTAAACAATTAGACATATTATACACATCCTGAGGTCCAGTAGCTTGTTCTTACTTAAGACTGTCTTCCTTCCCAATGGTATCACCAGAGGATCTGTCATGTCTCCATATCATTTCATAGTAATTCATTCAGCAATGTTTTGCTCACCTTCCTCCTCCTTGATTTTGCCACCCCAAAAATTCTTCCTGAAAATGCCCTCTCAGGCTGAAGCCAGATTTCAGCTCAACTTCTTGGCTATGTTTCTTAAGTGTCATACATGTTGCCTAGGCAGACTGAGCCAGTTTTACCAAGTGCAGATTCCTAACAGATAACTAATATAATTATCTCCCCTTGCCCTGACAGAAGACTGATGGGAGAAGGATAGTCACTCTGGGGATGTAATATATACATAAACAAAGTTTTGCTAAGTCACAGTTCTTCCAAGATAAACTATACACACAGAGCTTGCAACTTAATATATTTCAACTTGACAAAGGGTTGAAAATTAGTAATACTGCCTTTAAAATAAATAAGCTTTAGGGAGATTAAAATGAAGTACGTCATACTAACAAAAATTATATTACTTCTTCCATCTTAGGACTGGACAGGATTTCCCCAGTCTAACACATTACTCCCCCAAAAAGATAAACTAGATTAAACTGAATTCAATTGGCCTCAAGTTTCTCTATGCTCAATGATATATCTAAGTGTTGCTTCTATAAGTCATTGGACCCAGCAGAACAATAGGTTCTGCTTGTGGGGATGTATGCTCTGAGTGCTCTCACAGCTATCAGCAATATAAAGAGAAATTGTTTGTGGAGACACACTAAGGAAGCAGTATCAAGACTTCACATTACCCTAGCTTTTCACACTAAGCATTCCCTACTGTATTCACTACTCAATCTTAAAGCAAATCAAGCACTGTTCAGTTCCAATCAGTCTAGTAAAAAAAAGACTCACTTTTCTCAAACTTCCTATAGAGTAGTAAATTACTACTAGAAATGAAACTGTTACTGTACCTGAATTTTATTTTCTCATAACCTTAATTCATTATTGCTTCAGTTACCCTTCTCAACCAGAATAACTAACCTTGCTGCCTTCTTAGAATTTGTCTGTTACCATATTTGTCATGCAAACTCAGTATCCTGGGTTGCCCTCCCTCTCATTTGACAATACTTCATTTATTTCAGGGAATGCATCAACCAAAAAAGACGAGTGGAAAAGCTGTAGTATGAAAGAAGAGTTCATTTAACACTCTAAGACAAGAAGAGTGAACAAAAAACCCTGTCTCAGAAGAGCTAAAGCCTTTTTCCATTAATGTAAAAGACAAAAAGTCAAATCAAAACATGGGAAATAAGCTACAAAGTTTATGCTCATTCAACCTTAAAATCTTTAAAATCAAAATCATATAGTTTTAAGAAGAGTTCCAGATAGAACAGAATTAGTAAGATATTTCCCTTTCAGGGGAATTATACTACAGATAGACAAAAATGACATTAGCCTTCCCAGACAAAAAAGTGCTGAAAGGTGATTATAACTGTGACTCTTGCTGAGTTTGACTATGACACAGGGGCTGCAACTATCCTCATTTGCTCCTGAGAAGAATCTAGACCTCCTAAAAAGATTCAGACACAATATCAAGCAAATACCAAAGAATTTCTGCACTCTTATCACAGCCTCTTCTTTTTGCCTGTTCTTTTCTTTACTTCTCTAAAGGGACGAGGCAATTGTATTTCATTTTCTGCAATGTTAGAAAGAATGTTTTATATTTATTAAAATACCAGCTAGCTTTATATTTATTCAAATACAAGTACTGGTTAATTACTCTCCTTAAAATAAGGAAATGCAAATGCGTGTGCTTAAGAAAAATGTATGTAGTTTAAAAAAACCCTGACAGGATGGTTTAAGGAATCATTCGAATAGGATGGTCTAGGAGGCTTAGGGAACATTACCTGACTGAGCTCACTTTGGAGTTGCAGGCCATGCTGCTCTTTTTCCTCCCTCTGCTGCTGGAGCTGTTTACATTCTGCCTTGAGATGTTGGTACTTTGTCTCTACTTCGGACAACTCTTCTTTAAGTTTTTGGCTTGCTTCCCCCTTCTCACCTAGCTCTGCCTGTAATCTCTGTACCGAGGCTTCAGATGCAGACAGCTTTGCCTGAAGCTGTTGGCAGTCAAGGTCCTTCTGGTGAAAACTTGCCTGCACGTTCTTCTTACTCACAGATACTTCATTGTGTTTTTCTTCTAGCTGGGTGTAGTCCTGTTCTTTCTTCAGCAGCTTCTCAGTCAGACTCTATGAAGAGAAGAGAGTTACACAGCAATTCAAGTACAATTCTGCTTGCAGCTATTCAATGCACTATTCAAATTTCTTTTTAAGTGTTGATGCTGAACAGTGAAGAACTTGCTCAAAAACATTATTAAATAAAATGTTGACCTCTATCTTGTATTACACAAGTTATTTCTGGAGTCCACGCAGCACACAGTTTCAACTGGAAATAGTGTTTTTCATACTTTCACATAAATTCACTTCCTCTAACTGAGAACACCACTCAAACTATTTCTGTATCCTGAAGACTAATTTGCTTTCCCCGAATGTTCAAATTAAGGTTATTACGACTGGATTTTCTTGGGTAAAAGCTGAAATAGTACACACAACTTTTTTAAAGGCTGATGTTCTTCTTGCAGTTTCAGTGACTACTGTATTCTCCAGTTCTCTTTCAATTAAAATACAGAAAAACAAAGAACAATTCTAGCATGTCAGCCTGAAAAAAATGCAAACACTGAGGTCAGTCTTATGTATCAATACTTTGAACAGTTCTCCAGCTTTGGAATAACACTGTTCCAAAGATAAAACAGTTAGTGCTGCAATTCTAGCTATGCTGGGCATCTTAAAAGCACACTTCTGCACAGTATACAGGCACAAACTCTGTTTTGCCAGGAAAAAAAAAGTGCAAAATATTCAAGTAAGTGAAACAGTTTTGTTCCTTACATATTTCAGGAAATTGTAATGATATTGGTTGTTATAAATCATATACAGACACTTCTATTTTACAATCAAGATAAAAGAATTTATTTTTAAAAAGTTAGAAAACAAGCCATCTTGAAAGAGACAACTCTATCAGTCCAGTAAACTATGTAAGAAGAAATATAATTACTGCCCTATGGTAATAAAAGAAAAATAAACAAACAAAGCAAACCCAAAACAAAACAAACAAAAAACCAAAACAAACAAAAAAACCACCAAAAATCCACCACAACTTTCTAAAGCATACAACTTAGAAAAAAATTCTGGCTCAAGAATAAAGTCTGGCTATTGAATTCTAGCCCTGAACAAGTTTATTTTGAAATTTTCTTGAAAAAAAAGACTTGTTGCAAGGTAAGTAATTTTTATATATGCATACCTAAAAATGCAGGAATAGAGCACAAAAAATCATACAGATTTCATCCATCTTTACTCTCCTGAAGACAGTGGCAAGGCTTCCACTGCTTTTAAAATATATTTCACACTCAGAATATAAAATAAAGCTGCAATTCCCTTTTTCATTAAAGAGAAATGACCAGGCAGGATTATTAACATTTGTAGTGAATAGTGTTCCTGAAATACCAACACATCACAGAACCTTTTTCATCACAGCTGGGTAAATTAGAGCTAAGGTAAGCACACACAAGCCACCTCTCCTCCCTGAGCATCGATTTCCACAGAAAAGAAACAGGGAACGACAGTATATTACAGCACTCAACAAAGAATCCTGAGCCTTCAAAGCTCACAAGATACAAGGGAAACACCACACTGATCCCTTCTTTTATAAATGGTCCTTAGAAAATTACACATAATACATGTTAGTAGTGAGAGTGGCCAGGCATCAAAGAACAAACTCCGTGACCACTGACCGGATTTCAAAATAGTTATATCAACAGGTTAGAAACTATGTAAACTGTGCATCTTTCCCTGTAAATTACGCATCACAATCATTCCAAAAAGAAAAAAAACACACCAAAACCAAAAATCACCAAACCGAAAAAGCAACCATGCAATGGGTTTAGAATTACAGCAAGTCTTATACTTCAGGCATTATGCTGGTTTTACACATTAGGTCTCTTCCGGGCTACAGGCCCTTACTGGCCTCTGCAAGGCAAGCCAAGCTCCATAATTACAGTGCTTTAAAAATGAAGAAAAGGGAGTTCCTGGTGTCAGAGAACTGCTCTTATATACTTGTCACCTGTTCTTCTCAGTATAGCTCCTGAAAATATAAGAAAAAGCTTGCTTGCTTGACATTGTACATGAGCTTGATAAACTCTGCGTCAACACACAGAAATATCTTCCCACATTGCAGCTGGATTATAAATGGATGTATATATCAAATATATTATATTCTATCTATTGTACATATATTCTATCCTGAATTAATGGCTCCTCCTTCCTCCCTGACAGCTTCTTCAAGGATGTCAAACTGTTCAAAGTGGAAGCAATTTCTGTTATTGAAAGCTAATATTACCTTTTCCAATTCTAGGTATAACTCCTCCAGGGCCAAGATTCCTTAGCTAGCACATCATTCTTATGGATACCATCTTTCAAAAAACTGCATAAAGAGATAGCTGTAAGCTGCCTTGAGTCACTGAATCTGAAAAGAGGAAAAGTAGCTCACTAACACTTTGTATTCCTCAAGTGGTGTTTGTCATTAACCTGACATAGCAGAGGACTTTCTCTTAAAGTGTGATTATCTTATGCATCAATCTGTTTCACTCCACATTGCTAATGAAATAGTAATATACTCAGGAAAGGGCTCTATACTGTATAGCTATAATTCTGCCAAAAGCTTGATTCATTGTTGCTGGTCTGTGGAAAATTACAGTATGACAATTCTCCCCAGCTCAGTTCCACCCCTGATTTAGTGAGCCAAACAAAGAGTCATCCTACTAAAGGCAGTTCCATTCACCAAATTTTAATTGCATCTTCTTATATTCTCTGCAAATATTGCTTTAATATTAGATTACATTAAATACAGTCTGTTTGGTCCCTGTCCTTTCCTGTTTTCCAAGACCGAAAAGGTTGCTGGTAAATACATGTATGTAATGTGTTCATACATAATGTTACATATCCATGCAACAAAAAGCAGCATACATCTTTGTCCTTGCCTTCTTTCCTCCCTTACCTTTATTACCCCACAATACATGACTTACAAATGCAGATACAAAATGCAGCAAGCTCAAAGAGCTCTGATAACAATTCTCAAGAAATATTTATAAGCTAAGAAGTTTCTGGAGTTTATTTCCATTTTCTACCACTTACAACTCTGATAAATAGCCAGAAAAACATGACATGAGTATGGCCTAAAAGTTAAGACACTGGAAAACCAACGAAGAGAGTTCAAAATATCTTTCAAATTATGATTTTTAGGCAAATGTAGTATTTCACAGGGTACTACTTTTTTCTTTTAATGTGTGAGATGGCAATACAGACAGCTTAATGATATGTAAGCATAAACTGCAATTAGAAATCTGCAATCATAACAACCCAAAGGACTTCAGTTGTACCATATGAAGACCATTAAAATATAGCATTTGCTTGCATGTTATAGTATTCCTCACGTTAAGCAAAACGGAAAAGGAATTCTCAACTTCTGCAGCATCACGAAGCAAAGTTAGTCTTCAGTGCTTCCCAAGACAATGTGTGATGTGTTTCCATTTTAATGTGAGCTGACAAGTATAGGAAATAATAGCATTCTCACCTGGTTTTTCTGTTCTAGCTCTTTGACTGAACTTTGAAGTTTTTGCAGCTCCTGAACATACACGGCCACCTCTTGAGGTCCTTTGGCAAGTTCAGCTCTTAACTGGTTAATGGTAGCCTGAACAGACAAACAGAAAAATCCACATTTAAAACAAAGCTTTGCATGCATAATCCAACAAAAGCAAGACGTGTTGTAGCACAATAAAAAGCTTCTTGTATACAAATAAACAGCTTAAGAAAAAAGTCACCTGTAAACTAATCTCAGAGTACCATCAGCTGAGCATGAGCACTGAGCATAATTTCCCAGTTGAGATTTATTCAAATCATTTCCCATTTCAGAAGACAAAAACCTGATCCAGTCCAACAGCAAATGCCAGGTTGAGCTCAAAACTGTTGAAAATCGTAACAGATTATCCATTTATCATTACCACAGTTCCAGCTCAAGGTGAAACTTCTCCAAGTCATTGCAGTTACCAGGCCAAAATCTTGGCTGCCCTGGTAAGGGTAATGTGCTGGAAAAGGCACTAGAAGCAAGTCTGACATTTGATGCAAACTTGGTGTGTGACTTTTGGACAGATCAACACTGCAGATCAGCATAATCAGAGGAACAATACTATGCCATTTATCAGGACTAGTACAAAACAGAATATATCAATGACTGCACAGTATTTGAATACAGTAATGGAAGAAAACAAGAAAAGCACTTTAGGACATGGCTGCCCTAAAGCATGCTGTGTATTAGTGCATTCATTTCAAATACACTATATAATAGTGACCTTTTTAAATAAGTTTTTCTTCCTATTGTTCTTGTAACCACAGATTTCACCACAAATACGGAATTCAAGAATGAACTAAAGCAGAACAGAAGACAACACAAATACTATTTACAACCTTCTTACAGAAAAAGGAACACTAAAGAGAACATATGAACACATTATATGACTACATATAGTTATTAATTGACTTTCTGTAATGCTGTGATTTACAAAACTGTTTCGTAACAGAGATGTTAGTTAAAACACACCCTAGGATCTGTCTTTGTCAGATAAACATTCCAGGATGTTATCAAAAAACAGAGTATGGATATTTCATACCAAGAGAATATAATTCAGAAAACATGCAGAAGCTTATGAAGGACATCACTGCAGCCTTTCCAACTAGAATCGTAATTTATATGCATTAAGATTCATTTCTCTTTCACAATTCATTAAGTCCATCCCACATTCCATTCTTAACACGGGAATACATCCTGGATAAATATTCATTCCTGATACTGTCTTGTTGATGGATCTGTATGATTAATGAACCAATAAAAAAATCAGGAATTCTTTTGTTTAACAATGTCCTGAAATTATCTTGATAAAACAGAAATCTGTGACAAGAATAAAATGCCTTCCAAAGAAATTTACCTTAAATTTAAGTGTCTGCATTAGAAAGCAGAAAAAATAAAATGGCTTATGAAAGATGGAAATAAGCAGTCACAAAAGCTTTTAGTAGACACACTTCTTCAACTTTATTTTAAAATATTTAGGTGTTTCTAATGTCTTTGCTTAGGGGAGGGGGGGGCTGGAAACCAAAAAGAAGAGATCAGTGCCTGCCCCTCCTCTTCCCCTCACAAGGAAGTTGTAGACTGCAATGAGGTCTCCCCTCAGTCTCCTCTTCTCCAGGCTGAACAGACCAAGTGACCTCAGCCACTACACATACGGCTTCCCCTCAAGGCCCTTCACCATCTTCACTGACCTCCTTTGGACACTCTCTAAGAGCTTAATATCTTTCTTACATTGCAATGCCCAAAACTGCACACGATATTCAAAGTGAGGCCACACCAGGGCAGAGCAGAGTGGGACAATCCCCTCCCTTAACCAGCTGGGGATGCTTTGCCTGATGCCCCCCAGGACACGGCTGGCTGCCAGGGCTGCCAGTGCCCTCCTGGCTGCCACAGCACTGCTGACTCAGATTCAACTTGCTGTTGACCAGGATGCCAAGGTCCCTTTCCGTGGCACTACTTTCCAGCATCTCATTCCCCAGGCTGTACGTACATTTGTGGCTGCCCCATCCCAAGTGCAAAATCCAGTGCTTCCCCTTGTTGAATTTCATATGGTGATTGCCCAGTCCTCTAATTTGTCGAGGTCTCTTTGCAGGGCCTCCCTGCCTTTGAGGGAGTCAGCAGCTCCTCTCAGTTTTGTATTGTCTCCAAACCTGCTTAGTATCCATTGCAGTCTGGCATCCAAGTCATTTATGAAGATGATGAAGAGCACTGGGCACAAGATGGAGCCCTGTGGAACCTCACTAGTGACAGGTCGCCAGTCTGATGTCACCCCCATTCACTGTTACCCTCTGTGCTTGACCCATGAGACAATTGCTCCCCCACATGATGTGTTCACCCAGCTCTGTGCGGGACATTTTAAGAAAAGCAGAAAAGTTTTCACTACTATGACTTTGAGTAATTTTTATTTTCTTAAAAAGTCTAACCTGTCACTTTACATTGACATTTATTTTGAACATGTCTTAGGCTATTGTCACCATATGCTGAAATTAAGCAGACAATAACACTTCTGAGAAGAACCAGACTGCCACCGCTTACCATGTTATCCCACACAGCAACTTGGTCTTCTCTGGTTCACCCTACATTCTGATGATACTACATGATAGTATATGATACATAGCTATATTATACTATCATAACTGCTGCAATGTAGTTTATAATCCTTCCATACATCTAAGACTTCTTATATGATACATCATAACAGCTAGGGGCATCACACAGCCTTCTCCCCCATCTGCTGTTATACTTCCAGGGGACTGAAAAAGCTTTCTTGTCTTTTTTCATGTTAAAGGCTGCACTTGATAGCTACATTTTAAAATGGCTGTTTATGTCAAAACTTAAATATACCTAATTTGGAGGAACAGGAGTAATTCATGCTTCTGTGAAAATGTTTTTTAGATGAAAGGTTTTTGTTATGCCCATGTCACTGTCATTTTGTCTTCGCATGAAAATTAAATATCCAAAACTACAAAAAGACTAAAAAGACAGTATTCTGAAATGAAACTTGAATTCTGCAGCATAGTTGTGGGATCTCACAGTTAAAACCAAATTACAATTATGCAGCAACTTACATGGCCATATACTACATTATATTCATAATGCCAACTTGATATTCCTTTTTAACATCTGATGAAGCGCTTGGCATACATAATTTTAACTTGAAAACAATGGTAGATTCATGTTTAGTACAATACTGTACATATTGTACATACTGTGCAAACTGTATAATTCCTGGAGCTAAACAAACCTGTTGGGGGGGTGAGACAGAAAGAGTTTGGAATAATACCCAGCAATATTTCTCTAAACCTCTACAGTGCAAATGAAGAAATAGGAAGTTAAAACTTCAGTTCTGAAATCTAGGGCACATGAAACCCCAGAATAAAGTATGTCAGAAATTCTTCATATCCACAGATCTCAACAGGACAGAGAATACTAGGAGTCCTAGAGAAACCCTAGGCATTCTTGCATGTAAGCTGGAGAATTTTGCAAGGACCCCATTTTAAGAGGGACCACAGCTCTGCACTGACAAGTTTTGCTGGCACTGTTGCATTGGTAGGGGACAACAGAAGAGCTAGGGGGCAAAATTAAAAAGTCTCAAACACAGCTGACAGTCTTCTCTGAAGATTGTAACACTGTCAAGTCATCCACCAGTAAAACTGTATCAACCAACCCACCAGTGAGGTGCAACAACGCCTAGCAAGAGAGGTATGGATTTAGCAACTCCTAAATAGAATAAATTATAGGTTAGATAAAAGCCTTTTTTGTGATACTGTATGTTTATTAGGATTTCTTGACATTACGTGTGTCAGAGAGGTAGGCGGGGGTATATGTGCACACAACAAATTTTTCCCTTACACACAAAAATATTCCTCCATTAAATAATAGGTGTAAAAAGGCCTCCCCTCTAAAAGGAAAAACAAGGAAAAAAGAATGAAAATCAGTTTACAATATCCACTGAGATGTTTAAATCTTGTGTAAGTTCAAGAATTACATACGCCCCATAAGCATATTGAAATTATCATCCATCTTGTGTTAATCTTTTTTTAATGTATTTTAACAGCCTCGCATCCATTTGCAGGTACATCAACTCAAACGTTAACCAAACCCACCATTTTCAGCAACAACTGGTTTTATCCACATGTATCTCAGTAAGAGAAACAACCCTTTGAATCACACAGGTATTGCTCTATTTCTCTCTCCCTGCAGAAAGAACACAGTTCCACTGGGTTTTTTCCATTACTATTGGGATCTTGTAATAACATTTTATGCCAAAAAAAGGTTTTGCAATAAAAAGCATGAGGGCTTTTGGAGATTAAATATTGACAGAATTATGCAATTTACTGTCTATTAGATAAATGAGAAGATTCAATTAAGAAAAAGAGTTTTTCATAATGATTAAGCAACATATTCCATTTTCATATGATAATCATGATAAAGCTAGAACACACATCTTTAGGTATGAGTATTACCTCAGAGTTAGCCTGCTCTGCCTGCAAGTGCTTGCACTCATCTTTCAGTTTTTCAGATTCTCTTTCACGTTCCAGAGTCATTCTATCCATCAGCGTCTGAACTTGTACCAGCTCTTTTTTCAGAACTGCCACATCTTCCACACCAGGCCTTTGTAGCTGAAAAGTTGAATAGCAGTGAGCAACATAATGTTGGCAGACATGCTTCCAGTGTCAATGTAATTTCTAAAAATCTATCAAATCATCAATTTATAGACAAGATGACATACACAGTATTACAGCTAGGCTGAGGAAAAAAAAAAAAGAAAAAAAAGAGATAAGAAAACCCCCCCAGAACAAAACCACAGAGAAGTACTTATCACTCCCAAAGGAAACAGGACCTTAAGGGCTGGTTTTCCGTTTTTGCCTGCTAAACTTTGAACTTTTTGATTGATTTCAACCAAATCTGACAAATAGAAAAATGTCCCAAAGATTAAATTTCTGTAATTTTTATGCATGTAGATGGTTAGATACAGGATACTGCCTCATCTTCCAGAACTGTTTCAGAAAATCACAAGAACAGAAAACAGAAGGGCAGCCGAAGGAAATGTCTTGAAGATACCATCAGATATGCCTCATACCAAACCCACAGGTAAAATCTGTTGGTAATTGCATCTAAAGCACCATAACATCCCTCAACATAAAGCGTTACGGAGGGAAAGGAGACGGAAGGCAACTATGAGCACTGAAGAAAGCAGAGAAAAGGAGTGCTGGCATCTCTAGAAGAGAAAAGGTACAGGAAAAGGATAAGAATGCAGAAGGAAAAGGGAAGACAAGAAACAGCTGAACAGAGAGGAATGGATAGGTCCAGCATCTGGGAATGGCCAAGAAGCCCTTCAGGGCACTCAGCTACAGGAAAGAAGGGGATATACAAGTTCTACTGTCCTCCAGAGTCTAAGCAGTAGCTTAGTGGGTGAAACTAGGAACTTCCTTTCACTACTTGTTTAGAAGTGGCCCAACTTGCTGAGTCACTGGGATTGCTCCCCGGAGCCATGGCTGTATATAAAAGTCAACAAGAGCCAAAATCCTACAATACACACACATCGGTACTATCAGCCAAGTACAAGAGGGACAAGATTAACATAGGCATGATGATGACAGCTGCCAGTCTTTCAGCCACCATGTCACAAAACACCTCTCTGAGCACTTCTTACAAATGCAGCTGTCCAAGGACAGCCAAAGCATAACCTCATGGAAAAAGGGTGATCTAAAGATTTGGAAGTCAACAATAGCATGCTCCAAGTACAGGTCTGCACAGCACACCTATATGTGTAATACCCTGCAAAAATGCTAAACAGTAGAGCATCACAGTCTTAAGCTGTGCCAGGGGAGGTTTAGGTTGGATATTAGGAAGAAATATTTTACAGACATTGTAATCAGACATTGGAATGGGCTGCCCAGGGAGGTGGTGGATTCACCATCCCTGGAGGTTTTTAAGATGAGACTGGGTGTGGTACTTAGTGCCATGGTCTAGTAACCACAGTGGTGTTGGAGCAAGGATTGGACTTGATGATCTCAGAGGTCTTTTCCAACCCATTTGATTCTATGATTCTATGATTCCATGATTCTATGATCAGACAAGCAGACTATAATATAATGAAGGGTAAATTCTAAAATATGACAGAAAAAACATATAGTTTCTCACTAGAAAAACACTGAAAATGTAGATCAGTGAAACAGATCAGAAACAATGGTGTTCTGAACTTTTTCAGACCACAAGCAGACATATCCTAGTACAACAGAGTTTGACTGCTTTAAAACTGTGTTTACAAGCATTTAAGTATACCCCTCCCTTGACTTGAAAATAAAAAAACATTAATATGATGTGAATACCAGCTCTGTCTTTAAGTCTTCCACTGTACTTCTCTCTTTCTGCAGTTCTTGTCTCAGGTTTGTTACTTTCTGTTCTGCACCTTCCCGAAGGCTGATTTCTTCATCATACTTTGATTTAAGATCTAGTAAGAAGGAAGTTGAATAAATCCCTTGCACAAGTTGCACAAGTAAAGAACAGAATCAGATCTCATATTAATGTACTTACCCACAATTTCAGTGGCCAGTTGTGCCGCTTTTTGCTCAAATAAGTCTTTCATTTGCTTAATGTTAAAATTTTCTACTTGGATCTCTTCTAGTTGCCGTTCTAATGATTCTATTTCCATAAAAAGAACAGTATTATTTTCTAGAAGAGTTAGGACAATACAGTTCCTCATGCCCATGACTAACCACAACAGGTAAACATGTAATCCAAAATCCCTTAACGTCCAATCAACTTAGCAAAGTGAACAACTTTACTGAAGTTAAATATCTACAAGCATGATGCTGGAACCTGTCACTAGTTGAGTGCTCTGCAGGATTAAGTACATATTGGTTTTCACTGGTCACAAACAGCCCTTCAGATCACTGCAACATGCTGCTGAACTCCAAGCCCTGAATTGTGATTAAAAGTTTTAACCAATATCGGTCAAATAGTTTATGTACACATAGGGAAAACGTTATTCTATGAGTGCCCCATGGAGAAAAACGTAGAGCAAAAATTAGTGGTCTGCAAAATAAAAACAAATTTAATTGTTTTCTTCGATAGCAATGAGTAAGAAAAACACTAAACAAAACCACTCCTGACAAATGCTATGGTTTAAATATCTGATTGCTTGAATATACAGTGATTAAAAAGCTGTTCAAAATGACTCACAAGTACTGCTGTCAGAGTCTTGCCTTGCTTTTAGAAGTTTCAAACCCTGAGCCTCTGGAACATTTCCCCAGACTACTGCTTAAGATAGATAACTCTTGATAGCTCTTACAATGAACTTTTTTTTTGCTGGTAATTGTACCATTACAGCTTTCTAGCTCTTTAATGTACCAAAAGTGCTATTATACCTAAGCTACACCAAAAGAAATTGCAAAACAGTGCAGAAGTTAATATAATAAAATGTTAGCCACCTGTAGATGTAGCTGTTGTCAATCCATCAGACTTAGAATCCTTAAGAAAACAGAATAAATGCACCATTAGACAGTAAGAATAAAAACTACTACTTCCAAAGTTCATCCAGTTTTTGGAAAAGACAGGGAAAGCACTTCTGTGCTCAAATACTGCACAGCAGTATAAAAATACCTGATTTTAAACAGTTATATCTGGAAGACTGGAAAAGACTTTTCATTTCATATATCACTACACTATTAAGGTTTCCTTCCACTTGCAAAATTCCAGTAACAATCCCCTCCCCCTCCCTTTCCTCATTATGGAAATCTGCCCTAAAAACAGAGGTTACAGATATCTTTAAGTACATTCTGAGAAGGCATTCAGTCAGAAAGCAATTTCTGAGGTTTGTAACTACCCAGTATCTAAATAGCTCTTAGTAATAAAAGAAGTGAGAGCTTCCTTTAGGGCACAACAGACCACAATTTGTCTTGCCTTGTTTATTGAGCTCATCTGGATACCTATAAAATCCCACTGCTGTTTTCCAAAAGTTCTTACAAGAAAGACTTCACTGCCCTTTCTCATAAACAATGAAACACCACATTCAATTTATTTTATTTAATAATCTAAGTTCTCAATAAGCCTAACAGAAGGAGAAGTCTGAACTGAATTTGTAGTGAGTAGCATGGAGGAATCATTACTTATTCTGACTTTGTTCTTCACATTTATAAATACAGTTACATTGTGGAGAGATAACTAGCTTTGTTTTACCAAGAACATGTCAATATTTAAATTACAGAACTAACTAAATCAGGCCACGTGCCTTACAAAAATGGTATTAATCTTCAATGTCAATGCTGATGATAAACCTGCTTCAAGTATTTTAAAGCAATTACTTGCTGCCGCTGCCCCTGCAATTTCTCTAGTTCTTTCTTCAGCTCTTCTGAATACCACCTCTCCTCCTGGGGGGGAATATAACAACAAAAACAAAAAAAAGAAGATGGGAAGAGAGAACTATAAATTCGGTTGCTTAGGACAGTGGAACACTTTGCAATTTGAAACAAAGAACCAAGTGCAAGTAAAATACATTTCCAACCTTCAGCGAAGCTTGCAAGTCTTGGACTTCTTGTCGGAGCAGTGATACTTCATCTCTGAATAAATATATCCACAGAGTGGAGAAAATGAATACAAAGTGGTTATATTTTGTCAATTACATACAGGTTATAATGTGTGTTAAGTAACTGGACTGATAGCCATGTACCACCTAAATATAACTTACATAATTATGAATAGGTATTTTTATATTTTTTTGAAACTTGGAACAAACCAGATTAATATCACTTTGCATATCACTTGAAAAATGCTAAACATATTAACTGGATAAAGATACAAAAAAGGTCTCATGAAAACAGAATGTAAATCCAAATCAGTGCATCAGTTCAGCCACATGAGTTCAGAGTAACAAAGCTGTGCATTGGAACATTTAACTGTTTTGCATGCCTCTTTACAAAAAGGACAGATTTATTCTCCTTTACTTCCCATATCATGTAAAGAAATATTGGTAAGTGACAACATGCTATCTTACCCCTTCTAAAATATGCAGTTATGTAATTTTTCATCCACATGGCAATTTGGTATGCCCAGCAGACACATTTATTTAATGGTCTGAATATTTAAAGCCCAAGAATTTTAAATTCTCAAATTTCATACTCAAGCCTCCAGCCATGCAAGAACACAAGATCCATGGCTACAACTGTTACTAATTGATTCACACAGCACCCTTCAAAATCACAAGTCTCCTTACAGAATTGCACAACGATACATACAAAGATAATGCATTACTGAGATACAGCCACTCCAAATCCAGAATACAAGTGCTATTAATATAATGAAAAAATACTCCTTATTTTTTGCACAGTGGCAACATACAGAACATGTTGGTGCCAGTGCCAACAAATTCTCTCAGTTTTATATCACACAATTTTATTGCTGCTGTGTTGCATTACCCCTCCTCCACAGACATTCTTTTAAGTTATCTCATACTTAGGAGGGAAAAAACACAAAAAGCAAGCTATTTCTTAGCTAAACTGGTAACAAATAGATTCAATCCACATTAGCCTATTAACAGCAAGTCAGGATCATCAAATAGCAAGTGAAGCGCATGCACGTGAACCAGTAGAGCAAGAACTCCAAGGCAGGCGGATTTTAACAACAAAACAAACATGGGATATTGGGAGATTTATTTTTTCCAGAAGAAAATTTTGTTATGTACACATTATTCTGCCAGTGTGATACATTCACTAGAGGTTTACAAATACAACTTTACTGAGGCAGGTGTAGCTGTAATCCAAAACCCATACACTGGTTGTGGGTGGAGAAGAGGGAGTAGCTTTCTTACCAGTACGAGTAAGTGAATCAGATAATATTTACATCTAAGATTATTAATAATGTCTCAGGCAGGTGAAACAGTTAATTATATTGAAATTGGGCTGAATATATACCAGAACTGCAATACGAAAGCATTTAAGATGCTCTGGTCTTTGTAGTAGATTAAAGGGTTTGAGTCATATAAAACTAGTTTGTAGTAGAGGGGAAGTAGGAGAGGAGCAGAAGGGAAAGAAAGAGTTTGTAATATGAGGATCCTTCTACAGAAGTCGCCTTGATATCCCCCACAAGATTTTGCTTGACAGTTTTAAGATGAAACCTAAATTCAGTTTAACTGACCAGTGGAAAATAAATGGGTGATAATTAGTGTCAGGGATCACTACAGATATAACTTTGCTTTTCTTCCTGTCATCCAAATCCTCACCAAACCTTCTTTTCTGCTAGGGGTGTTACAATCCCTTCCTCCTCTCAGCACATGTGAGTCTTCCATCCAGCAAATCCTTACTACCTTTTCCTTATGCTCCACTCTGTTCCCCACTAGTGCCTCTATCCTAGGATTGAGTACTGATGGCCTTGCTGAATTGCACTGGGGGGAATTACACAATTTACTCTTGGCACTTAATCATGGTAGTTTATTGGGGAGGGGGAGGAAGAGGACACTATGTAATTCATACTACCTAACTTTCCCTATTGACTAAATAGGGAATTTCACTCCCAGTCTTGGTCCTACGAATTACACGTAAGCTTCACTCATTGAGAGCTAATGGAGTGGCTCCCTGCTGCAGGTTGCAATATTTAATATGGACTTCCAAGTCTTGGAAAAACATGTTTATGCTGAATGAGAGTTTTCTCAAGAAAGCATACAACTGAGAAGCATTAAAGAATGCCACACTAATAGGAAAATATAGCTCATGTGTTACACAATGGCTCTCACTAGATTCCCTTCACTCCATTAAAACTCCCTGACCTTGTCCACTTTTCCAATTATGTGAGAGTAAACAAAACCACTTGTCCTTAAACTGTCAAGAGCCAGGAAAAAAAAAATAAATTTCACCAACCAACATCTGGTTGACATTGGAAACCTGCAAGCATAAAAACAAAAAGTACATATTTCATAAACTATATAAACAATATAGTTATGACCAATAATTCTCCCATGTGAATGCTATTATCCTACTAAACTATCACCTCAGGTCTAAGTTGTATTACTCCAAAGAGGCTGAAACCGGACAAAGAAGAAATATTTGTTCTTGAATAAATGTGCACATCAGAAACTCAGTATGACTCCACTAGTACCCCACCACTTGATCCTATATAAAGGCCTAATTCTGATTTCTTTTGTTGCAGCAGCTGACAGAGAAGGCAGCTACCCACAAGGAAGGAGCCATCCACGCATGAAGACAAGACTTCTGCTCATGCTGGCTCCTACTGGCTTGCCAGCTCTGCACAATACTGAGGAGATACGGATCTGCATCTGGATAAACAACTGAAATATGTCACCTTCAACATTCTATTATCACTAAAGAAACACCCTTTCTTGAGTTTATATTTGTATTTATACTTGTATTTATATTACATAAATATAGGTATTTCTTACAATGTAATTATCATTTTGGGTCACATTTCTGCTAGTGACGAAATATTTGAACTGTCTACTTCCCAGCATCAGCAGAAGCCACAGGGTTGTGTGATGTGTACCTCTGTGCTGCCCACTCTGACCCTCCTATGTAAAAACTGAAAAACAGTCTGGGGGAGTGTCACAAAACAGCACCATGGACTGTTATTTACAACAGTGCAAAACAAGCAGTGAACGGAAAAAGAACTAGCAGGAAGCAAAAGGAAACTTACATAAATTTTACCTCCAAGAGAAACCTTCCCAAACCAACACAGGTAGACTACTTAGTAAAACATTTCCAGAGAAGGTTTCACGTTATCAGCTCATGCTACATAACACTGCTCTCAAAAATAAAACCACCTGATATGCTTCCTAGGGATATATTTAACAATACAGTTTTGACCAAACAATTAAATAAAATAAATTAGAAAAGATTTCTAAAGAACAGCATGGAGTTTCTGAAACACAGAAGGCAGATTAGGGGCACAGTCAGAAACTTCTCAGATTTGCAAATAACTAGGTAATAAGGGAAACTATTTAGGCAAATACTGATGTTGTAATTACCCAGTAAGTACCCTACCTACCCAGGGACAAAATCGAGTTTCTTCTCTATCTTTAGGGTTGTCCTCCCCCACCCTCAGATGATGATATTTCAGCTCTATGTCAGAAGTTAGAAGGAACCTTTAGTTTTTCTGCCACACTTGTAAAAATCATTCTGGTCTGTAATATTGCATTGTCAGCTGCATCAGAAACAGGTGACTTAATTAATATCATGAACATGTCTATCTGATTTTCATTTATTTTCAGATCCATATCAGACAATGTAAGTTTCAAGCTGCTTTTTAATTCTAGTTGGAAAAATAGGGCATGAACGTTTAAATAGTTGACTATATAAGTAAGTGTTCAAATAAATACAGCCTTCAGTGTAATTAGAAGCAGCTCAACACTGATACAAAAGCACATGCACAAATGAGTACTGTTTCACCTTTCCGGTGACAGATGACTTTCCCCTCCATGAGTTGAATCAATGCCAGAATTATGAACTGCTTCATAGTGTTTGAACAGCTCCTCAGCTGATCCATGAGACTTCATACAAAGAGGACAAATAAAGCCCTATTATAAAAAGGAAAAGAAAAACAAACAAAAAAAGATGTGAGATGCAATTTTTTTTCCCATCTTACTTTTACATAAAACTGTAAATTTTGTTAGCGTATCTAAAAAGTAGCAAATGCAATTTTTAATACTTATACGAATTCTTTCATGCTCTGATAACAGTTTTGGCAATTAAAAAGTTAGAAAATGGCTACAAAAGTCATATCCCATTATTCAGTGAGGTTTTTTCCCCCAACAGCATTACATACTAGCAATAAAACTTTCTTTAGAAGTCATTTCAGAAGGACTGCTCTGCAATTTCTTCTCCCCCAACAAAACGGTTTTCCATATAGCTTTTCATAAAATCACGTTCTTCTTCCAAAGAGAAGGTAGCATTTGGAGTTTGGTCTTTAAAAGGGAGATATAAAAACCCACTCTAAAGCATTGTTATTCATACACATATTGCCACCATATTGAAACTACTGATTTTAATATGGGCCAGAAGACAGAACCACATTTTACCTTGCATGGAATTAATTAGTAAATCCAATTCAGATAAATACCACCTCAAGAAAATCAGATTTCTACAACCTTAAGAATCAGAAATCATCCATTTTCTTTCCAGTATATATCCTGCAAGCTTACCAGAGTGGAAATTTAGCAGATCGATGCCCTTGTTCTACCCATTAGCCCACAGACAAATGAAAAGAGTTATGTACCTGTTTATGTATTTCTAAACATTTTTGGAGCATCTAAGCTGCCACTTACCAGAAGTACCATCCACCTCATTTTTTACAAGTTATTACATCTGGTGTTGACTGCTGGACTTTGTCCTGGTTCCTTGCTCATTTGGTTATCAGGCCAACTCCGACCCAAATTCCCATTTACACTTCAGCCCATACGCAACATGGTAGCAACACTAAGACGTTTCAGAGTGAGAGTGAAAAATTGAGTCTCACATTAAAGGCTCCCTGTAATTCCAAGCTGTTCAAAGAGAACCTCATGTAAGTGAGGTCGCTGTTTCTTCAATGTTTTTTAAGCCCCCCTGTTTCTTTAATTCACTTCAGATACGAATTTGTACATTTATGTGTTATCCTTAAGTCCATTATGCCACTACAAATTGTAGCACACTCCAACACTAAACTAAAGCTCTCCATTATCCAAAACAAGAGTGGGATTATCACACTTCACTTAACCTAGGCTCCCATACGATTTATGAAGGACACACAAAGAGTTCTGACACTCCTTTTCTCCTCTTAATTTAGTATTTGGATGTTAATAGAGAAGACACAGAACTTTAAATATTAGCACAAAGTGGACATACTGAATGTGTATGTTGACAACCACAATAGCACTCATTTTTTAACTTGACATTCATAGTGTTTTGTTTCACTAGTTACCAAGAATTCAACAACCAAACTTACATGGATTTAACCTGGGAAAACTATCATGTTCAGCCAGTCAAACATGACTGCAGCTCTGAACAGGGCCTTTATAACTTCTATTATTTATTTAGTGTTTCAGAAATTAATTACTAAATACAGTTGCTTATCAAGTTCACCACATATCATATTGAAGACTGATACACCAAACAAAACAGTATACACCTTCCTAAGCAGACAACAGGCATTTAGCCTTAACAACCATTTTGCAGAGTTGATCAGCACAGTTTCACTGCAGATTAAACCAAGTTAACTCAGATACAGATACACATGCCAAAATGGCTACAGAAAACTTGTTTAGGCACCCAGTAATGTTTATCTGATAGAATTAGCATACGATGCCAGTGACAGTCACTCTGAGTGAAAGAACCAGAGTAGTTTCCTGGCATACAGCAATGGCAAGGAATGATAGGAGGGGTCACAAAATAAGGACATGGGTTTTTTTCCTAGTATGTCAGTCAGAAAAGCAATCAGTCTCATAAAATGACAATGCAACAGTATCCTTTTGGGATGAAATGCTACCAAGCAGTTCTCAGAAATGTATTTAGTTTCCCAGTGATGCAAAGGTCTGCTGCTCACAGAGAAAAGCAAATATTCCTCATAGCATCAGTAAGTGTATCTAAAAAGAATGAATGCAGAAAATCACTCTGGCCTCTATTTCCTTTTGCCCTTCATTGCTTTTCATTTAAACAGCAAAATCTGTTTCTCTGCTTGGATTTTTTTTTTTTTTTGTGGTTTTATCGTGGTTGGGGTTTATTCTGTAGAAAGAGGAGGCCTGGAGAAGAGGAAAGAATAGATAACATGTGCAATTAGCCCAAGGCGACAGCAATCGTTCATCTCAATTATTAGGCAAAGCCAGCCAAGATTTTTCAGGCAGGCAGGCAGATCTGAAGGCAAGGTCCACAAGGACAAGGGGCCAAAGGCAAAGCAGAACTCTGGGAACGTGTGTAGTTGGGAGCTTGCAGGGTGGATGGGAGCTCTCGGGAGGCAGACATTGCTCTCATCGGCAGAGCAGGGAAGAATGAACAAAACCTCCTCCTCTTGATGCTAGAAACTGCCTTCCTCTCACACGAGCAGGGATAAAGAGTGCATCAGTCACCAGTCCCTGCCTCTCCACCAGCACAGCCATGATCACGGCTGGCCTCAGCTGTTGCAGTCAGCACTGGGTTACAGCTCTCACACGCAGCCTTAATCTAACGCCGTTTTTTATAGAGGTCTAACATACAAGCTTCAACAGAGTAAGGTGTCACCCTTCTGCAACAGGGCATCCTTGCCACAGAAAATGTCATCCTTTCTGCACAGAGATGGAGTGGGCAGGAACACAGGTTCCTACAGCTCAAGGTACCACTGTTCACACATCAGAGCCTTAAACTGCACGAACCCAGAACTCAGTTGCATCTCATAGGCCGATAATAATCAATGTCAACTCTGGTGTTAGCAGCAATAATTCAGTTCTCTTTAGAGTAAGAAAATCAGAATCATCAGGATCTTCCTAGGCACCAGGCAGTAACAGGCAGAAGTGTAAAGATTTCTTGGGCCTGCAACAATCAGTGCCAGGTGACAATCTTGTTTGGAAAATTGGATTGGTGGATCACTTATTTTCTCTCTTAAAAAAAAAATTAAATACAGCCATAAAAGTATCTCTCAGTATCATCTTCAGATGAACTTTGCAAACATGTGCAAAAGCATATTTTACTATTCTAAAGACAAGTGTGTGAGAAGGAAGAGGGGAAGAAACCTGACAGTCTGAGATGCTTAAATTTTGTGAACATTTCTGTCAGTTTGCAGCAATTTATATCAAGTGCAATATATTCCTACTTTGGGACCATGTCTGTCCTGGATAAAGAGGAGATTCTGTACCTACAACCATGAGATGTAATACTGGTCATCACAGCCTGGGGGGAAGGAGCTGAGGCATCCTTTCCAATAAGACTGCACGTGGATCCCTTACAGACTCCTTTACAGAAGAAGCAAGCATGAGAGTAATGTACCTTGTATTTTGGTAGGTTTCCTTTTAACATGCGTTTAGGAATTACTTTGCATAAAGCACAGCCACAGAGAAGTGAAAGGCACTTCATATTCTTCATTTAATAAAGCCAAAGACATCACTTACAGCCCCTTCAGTGCTGCACTGTAACTCATAACTCCCTAACTGATTTTTCTAGCTGGGCTTTATCTTTCACTTCATACAGGGAGAAAAGAGCCTAAAAGAAGTTAAATGAGGATTACTTGGGTTTTATTTTTAAAAAGAGATCATCTTTTTATGAGGAAATGAGAATTTAATGAATTTAAAGATTTTTACAGATGCCTGTCAGTTAACAGAAAAAAAAAAAACCCACATGCACTAGTTTTTATCAGAAAAGAGTTCTTGAGATCACCACAGAATTTCTGAAGCAATACCAAGCAAGAATAGTAAAAAGAAAAGGCTTTCAACCCAAAACCCCATATACGTGCACAAATAAGCAACTAGGAGTCAGCACACAACTTAATGCTCCAACAGCCCCTGGCCCAGAGGTCAAGGCATTCCAACGAGAATGAGTGAGATGCTAAACTTCAAATTCCAATTCTGCAATCCCAAGGAAATGTTTCTCTTTCAGGTGGATGCCTATGAGCCATGCCCAGTATCAAGCATCACCACAGCACCACACTGTTCATAGTGGGACAGGCCTTCCTCAGTGCAAAGACTCCAAAACACACGTGGAGTAGAACAAAAATTGCTATATAGAAGTTTGTAGGAAATTATCTTACCTCAGCTTGAGTTATAAGGCAAAATTTCACCAAAGACCTCAGACTCCATGGAAGCACCAGAAGCTTTTTTATCTGCCTTTCTCAAGATAAGACTTACAAATAAGCCCAAAGAAGAAAAAAGCTACTTTTCCCCTCTACTAGTTAAGATTTACTTTCAGGCTTGATAAAGTTAAGCTTCTCAGTGGTCTATTTCCATAAAGGCATACGAGGTAAATGACTTCTTTCCGCTAACGTTAACATTCGTATGAATCATTAAGACAGCATTCTTTGAGAAGTCTGCCAGGATGCTAAAAGCAACATCGGAAGGAAACTCTTGTTACAAAAACTAGCAGGTTTGGGTTTGGGTTTTTTTGGTGGGTTGGGTTTTTTGGGATTTGGTGGTGGTGGTGGTGGGTTTTTTAATTGTACCAACATACCTTTCAGGACTATTAACTGCTGGGAGAACATTGGCCTACCGCATTGAAACATATTGCCCAGCAGCAGCAGCATAGACCCACAGGCAGACAAGTACATAACCAGAACGACTGCAGACTACCCTAGAGATCTCCTAATCCTCACACTATTTAAAAACTGATTCAGAAATAGTTTATGTAACAGAAAAGTAAATGGATAGGATTGAATGGATTCTGGTTTTTTGTCTTCTCCTTATATTACTCCATAGGACTACTGGTGGTAGGATTGGCTGTGTAAAGAAGTACTTTCTAAAGTTTCAGCCTTTTCAGATTATTATCTTACTTTTAATGATTTTTTCAACAGGCTGAAGGCTCCTAATTGAGATTTTTAAAAAAAACCAAACTATTTACATGTAGATGTCTACTCCCCAATCACTAA